ACGACCAGAGAAGAGTCGCCGCCTCCCTGGGCATTACCACCAGCGTCAAGGAGGCTGAACTTCAAGCCATCAAGACGGCGGTCGAAAGTGCAGAACAAGAAAAACATAAAAGCAACATTTATGTCTTTACGGACTCTAAAGAAGCCGTACGAGAATTGAAAAAACATGATAGCCGCAGCAAAACGGTTAAAAGCATTAAGGCTACGGCCCGACAGCTTCGAGCTGAAGGCCGTACCATCAAGATACGATGGATCCCCGGACATCAAGGTATCCACGGAAACGACGAGGCACATGCAGCCGCACGGGAGCAGCTACAGGCAGTCCCACCCGGCCAAGGCTCAGTGCACCCCGTCGTAGATGAAGACATCGAAGACGACGTCGACCCGTCGGAAATCAAAGCACAAGAACGGCTAGAAAGAAGACAAAGACTCGCCGATCTACGCAGGCCAGACGAACACCCCCTTCCATCGACATCTTACAGTCGGTGGGAGCGTGTATGCCTACGAAGGTTGCGTACAGGAACCGCCATGACACCGGCTTTGAAGTATAAATTCCGGAAAAGCAACAACGGGGAAGATTCCGAAACTGACATGTGCGATCACTGTCAAATATTGGCAGACATCAAACACATCATCTGGGATTGTCCCAAAAGTGACATCAAGCGGAAACTAGCTTTGAATGCTCTACCGCCACAAGAAAGACCATCCTGCCTAAAGGAATGGGTTCTTCCAGACGGCACCCCCGAGCACAGAAAAGCAATTTTGGACTCGCTGATAGAGTTCATCAAGTCCGCCGGACTTTATATTTACATTTAAACCCAATCCCTCCTTCCCCTCCCCCTGTAGCCAATGACGAGTTTCAAGGGCAACAGGTACCCCACCTGAAAATAAAACATTTTCTCACTCACTCATTCTACTGACATGAATGAAAACGGCACCATCAGCACTACCTATGACCAAAATCAGTATCAAGAAAAAGAAGAAAAAAAAAAAGTAGGGGGTTCTGACTTGCCATCCCATCCGTCTTCTTAAAAAAAAGAAGAAAACCACACATTCTCCTACCGACATGAATGAAAACTGCACCATCAGCACTACCTATGACCAAGATCAGTATCAGCACCACCCGAGCTTCGCCCCAATCAACATCATTCACCACGTGGAGATGCGGTAATTTTTGTAACCGTATTGGTTTTTGGAAATTGTATAAACTTTCGCTGAACGTTTTCAATAAGATTGCTATGTAACACTGTTTTTTTTTTTTTTTCTTCTTAGAATGGATGCTTGGGCGAGTTGGATATACATGTTGCAGGAGAAGCGCTAAAGTAGACTCACTCACCCTCACACTCACACCAGAAAAACGGTCACTCACGTCGCGACGTGAGTGACCGTTTTTCTGGTGTGAGTGTGAATGTGAGGGTGAGTGATACCCTTGTTACACGGGCACACTTAACTGCGGTTACGCTAAGCCACAGTTAGCGCACAATACTTGCGGACAACATTCTGCGGCTATGCAGTCAAAGCTATGGGCGAACGTGCGCTTGAGCATCTTGAGCACCCATCAAAGCAGTTCACGCGCTCTCTTCCCTTCTTTTGAAATAGCTGTCCGAGGCTATAGTGCGGCATCTGTGCTGCCATGTAACCGCAGTTAAAGCTGAGTTAACCGCGGTTAAGTGTGCCCGTGTAACAGGGGTATAACAGGGGTATGAGTCTACTTTAGCGCTTCTCCTGTAACATGTAACACTGTTACCGAGTTCCAAACCACAAACGCGAACCCGAGGCGTGATCTATTTTAAACAGTGTCCCCTTTTCGATAAGCAGCGTTTCTCTACACCGAGCTTCAATAAAATGTGCAATTTCTCTAAAATGTTTTTTCGATGAAATGGCGTTCGATCGACTGCAGTGAACTCCTCTGGTGTCTGGATAGTAGTTCCGAGGTAATCAATTTTTAATACAGATTTTAATAAAAAAAATTGGTCATGCACGAATGTAATGTTTGGTTTTTTTTAGGATGCTTAGAGCCCACAGATCGAGATAGGACCATAAATGGACGACCCTAAGTTCCCATGCAAAACAAGGAAGCAATCGCTGCAACAGAACACAGACCTGCCTTAACCTGTGAGTCGCCACCCTGTACTACAAAGGCAGCCCAAGATACTAGAATCGGCGATCAAGCCACTATTAACTTTCTCGCTCCCAATAGGCTATGGTAACATTGCCTGGTAGCCATCACAAATCCAGATCGATATGGAATTATTACAGCGACATTCGGCACCCTTTAGCACACCATACGGTCAATGCGACAGTAAACACGGTAATGCCTGGGTATGATGAAACAGTCAAGTACCACCAGGCTTCCCTATCGTAACCAATGAATTCACCGATTAGATGACCAAAGAAGGACCCTGAAACCACCGTGCCTGGAGTGCGTTGCCGACTAGTGCGTTTAGCGGTACATTAGCAGAAGTGGCAGACGCCTTTTCTGCTGTAGGTCGCTTTGCAGCCAGACGGTCGACGGAAATTGAAGCAGAAGCGAAATGGGATGCCACAACGACAGCGAATCTCGCATCCTCCCGCCTTTTTCGCCGGCATTTCTAAAGCGTGTTTCACATGCAGCGAGTTTGGCCCTAAAGCCTAGTTCACATGCAGAGGTTTTGGCCCTAGAGCGGCGCGATTTCTGCCGTCGCGGCGCTCTGGCCAGCACCAGCAATTCTGCGGCACGAGCGCCGCGACGGCAGAAATCGCGCCGCTCTAGGGCCAAAACCGCTGCATGTGAACTAGGCTTGAGACGAACTGCCGGAATCGCGACATCCGACAGCACGACACACTGGCAACTAGGACGCAATTCGCCGCCACTATGGGACCCCTTTCAATCCGTGAGCAAGATAGGATGGTAAACACATCAGTCGAAGACACATCCCAGGCACCGTGCTGAAATTAAATAGAGACTCCAAATGCACCAAAAGCCATGCACAAGCACTCGGTGCAACCAGAAACACACTCTTCACGTGCGCGGTAAAGGAAGGAGTCGACACCCGTCGGTAAAACTTTGCAACTCTTCATTGATAATGATCACTGTACAAATGATAAAACCGTCGTTACGAACGCAGGGAACCAACAATGTCATAATTGAGCAGACGACTTGGCAAGAAGACGTTAACAAACGGCAAGGAAAAAAAAAAAAAACTAAACCCGAGGGGAGCGGCACGTGCTTCCTCCCTCCCTCCGCAACAGACGACTGGTCGGGGAGATCGTTAATGCCATGGTCTTCGCGTCTCGACAAACGGTAAACGGGAGAAAAAAGAAACTCCCTATTGACCTCGACGGATACGGCGAAACTGACCGTCATCGACGGCAACACCGAGGAAAGGGGGAGATACAGAGCAGTGAAAAAGAGGAAACGATAACTTTATACAAAGTTTGATTGCTTTCACACCATGTCGCGCGCTTTGTCTCCCGGCGGCGTTCGACGCCGCCGCACCGAGGTTTCATAGTAAGGAAGAGGACAGTATGGCAGTTTCTGCAGAAGAAGCGCATGCTCCCGATTATTTTTTTTTCTTCCTTTTATACTGTACAGTATGATACAAGAGATAAATGGCAAACCGGGGAAGAAACATAACGCAACCCCCGATTCCTCCCAACTCGACCAACAACAAAATGGCGGCTCGCAGAAGACGCCGTTGCGAGACGCTCTTCGTGCAGACGAGTGAAACAGATGACAGGAGCAACAACAAAACACCTCCTTCGCAACCCTCTAAAACACTGCGATAAAAAACGCTTTGCTCGCGGCAAGTACATAACGCCAAAACTGTACAGCTGTCGGCCCTTAGGATGAAACAGGTGCAGAACAAGTGATGCGGGATAAGCAGGGACGGGTCCATATCACATGAGCGAATGACATTTTAGCGAACAGCGACATTTGAGCGAATGGACGTTTTAGCGAATAACCGGGGCGCGCGTTAACCCATCCGCCGCGCTGCGCTTTACGCCGCTTCGCGGCGACAGTCTGCGGCGGCTCATTACAAAAATGTGAACCCAATTGGCCCACCCGAAAACGCCGCTTCGCGGCGTCCAACTATTCGCTAAAGTGTCATTCGGTGAAACGTGGGCGTTCGCTAAAACGTCATTCGATCAAGTGAGTGCCTCCCAGGAGGGGTACGGTGAGCCAGCAGACAACTTTGGAACGTTGGCAGACGTTAATTCTAACAGGAGTGTAACTGCAACAGCTTATCTTGATCTCGAATCACATTCCACTAGTGATGTAATATTTTTGTTTCGCAAATAGCATGCGACACAACCAAAGCTAGTGTATTTAGTGAAAAAATGGGTCAATAAATGAGCTTTCCAAGTAGGAAACTTGGGGCCCCACCGAGACAAAACTACCAGCACATGGTGCCAGAGCCTCCCCAACAAAGCACACAATCGCCACTGCACCTCAAACTTGGAATAGCAGTAATTTCATTCGAAACGGTGATAACCTGAAGGAAACATTTTATGAAATGTCATAAAATTCCATAGTAAATTTAGTAACTGAGCAATTATTTGACAATGAGAAAAAGCTGTCTTGCACCATTTAGCAAGCAGACATTATTTTAGCTACTAAGTGCTTAGTTCTTCCCCAAGACAACTTTCATCTTGGAGAAGGGGGGACACAAACAGACTGATGGGGGACTGAAAACATTAAGATCTTCTATACCGTATTGATACTTTTCATACAGTGGGCAATTAAAAATAAATCATTCATGCATATTATAGAGTTAAGCAACTACAAAACTCACCACCAACATGAATGCCGAATGTTTTAGATGTCAATCTAAAGCTTGGCAGCATTAGCATTCCTAACTAACACCGGCTAGATTTGCAGTAATAGAATAACTTAGATACGCTGATGACGTGTGGCCTCTCATCGTCATGGCTGCCGCTTCTAGTGGCTAGGAGCTTCCATCACAGAGAAAGCAAAAATAGATGGCGGATTTCCCGTAGCTTTCACTGCGATTTGGATGTCCTACAAAACCTAACATAGTGAAATGTGATCCAGAGGGCTAGACCAATTTGGGAGCTGACAACAATGCAGCTCCACATTACAAAGCTACTTAAGCAATCCAAATAAGAAATAGAAAACAGTGTTTCAGATTTCATTTACTATGCGATTCCAAACGTTCTGCTGGCTCAAACTTGCATGCCCCACCAACCCTAGACCTGCATGAAGGAACATGGGGCAATTTTGGTGTTTTTCCTTTTTCTTAGGAACTGCCCAGCGTGAAAGTGCCACCCAAAAGACGCAGAAATGTTGTACGCATTTTGGAGGTCAGGCATTCTGCCTCAGATTTGTATGTGTTCCCTCTCGCATCACAACAGGAGGAATATGGCCATATCACATGTGCAATGTTTCGCCAAGACGTGGGCAACACTGCACGAGCATACTTATCACCAGCACTAGGAAAGGGGAACAATGATATCCCTGCAGTGTCGCACACGAATTTCGGCGAGAAAGTGCACATTGCGGATGGTCCCTTTCCAGTACCACTTTTTGCAAACGGAAAGAGAAAACCCAAGAATCTGTTCCAAAAGGCACACAATCATAAAATTTCCGGGAAAACAATAAAATTGATCCACCCTGTTAAGATTTCGCACTGTAATTACTCGGCCTCATGTAAAAATGTCTTGCCACGCACTTGCATTTCGTGACAAGCACTTTCATGCCGGGTAGTCTCGAAAGAATAAAAAACAGCAAAATTATTATTTTTATAGTTTGTTGCAACGTGAGAACAGCAGTAGATGCTACGCCTACAGCATGAGCTTTCTAACTTCAATGACACTCCAGCGCACGCAAAACCAAACACGCCGGAAGAAGACAAACCCATGCAGGAAATGGAACATCTACTTCTGATCTTACGATGCAATGGACTATAATGTTCCCATGGAGAATCACAGACACAATAAAAGAAGCAATGCAAGAGGCATCAGTGTCAACGAGAAAAAAGCATCCAGAGGCATTTCACTAGCCTTCTTAATTCCCTCCGCAACGTCAACACTTATATACTACAAAAACCTGAAAAATGTATGTACATGTACATAATGACGGGGGAAAGTGTGCCACAGTTCGAGAGAGGAGACGCCCGACGTTGCGTGTCGGAGTTCGCCGCACCAGAATAGAAATGTGGGTCGTGGGACCAACTCCGCGGGGAGGGGACATGTAAACGAAGCACTTCCAGCAAATGTACATAGGGGAAAAAAAAAAAAAAGCGCCTCGAGGAGATTGAAGGTTGTCGTCACGACTCTTGTGCCGTCGTCGTCGTGCCCTTTGCCCGGCGAACTTGCCGCCCTCCATCGGCGGAAGATAACCACCGGCACCCCCAAAAAATATGGCGAGAACTTTCTCGACGCCACGACCGGGATTCAAAGCACCATGCTTTAACTGGCTTTGCGGCGAGCCAGCATCACTTCCGAGACTTTCGCTTATTCTTGAAATCATGGTTTTGTTAAAACTGTGCCAAGATTGTGCCGAAGTGCGGGACTCGCGTCGGCTCTACTTCAGCACTGGTTTGGCTTTCTCTGGCTAACGACCAGGAGTTGATTCGTACGTAAGGGCTCGGACCTCAGAGCTTGTGACTTTTGGCCAAGGTTTTTTTTTAAAGAAAGTTTGTTGATCTACAAGGAGAGAAAACTATATTTTGTTTTTCTGCACCGGCAGCTTTATGATCTCGCTGAGTAATAAACCTTTGTGTGCTGCAACTCAGAGCAAATAAAATACTATTGATCCATTGTTATTTATGCCTAAGCCATTTCACTGAATCGCCCAGTAATGCCAAACAGCAAATATGTCCTCCACAGTTCTTTGTGAACGGAATCCCTGTTGACTTGCCCGTTTTTGCTATAATAAAACCACGTTAAAAGCTAGATTTGCAAATCGTAAAACGAGTGGCCCCTTTAAATAACACGGCACACCCACGACATCCCACAGCCAAAAAAAATAGACACAATGAATGTCTCACATTGGCTAAGTGGCGCGAGCCACCAACCAATTCCAAGGGCTCAATGTATTCACCTCTCTATCCATCTACCACTCATTGCTCCAGCTCGACAGGATCACTACATATTTCACTTCACAGATGGCACGAAACAGAGCCAAAGTTATCAAATATATTTAGTGCATCACATTGCTTTTAAAATATATTGCACAGTAGAGTGTGCCACCTAGTTACAAGTGGCACCACTGGTGACCAACGTATGGCACCCGACATGTCTCCCAGATTGCAACAAAGAGCACCAAATGTGCCACGCTTCTGTAGAAGAATCCATTCATCCTGTTGCTAATATACTCCCTTTTGGGGAATATTCCCCATATCATTACACTTAATAAAACGCAGCAGCATATAAACACATGCTTCGTAAAATGTGTGCCCGTCTGCAAGTGTAAATAATGACTCTGGTATTTTTTTCCTGAATGCCACTGCAGTCTGCTCTGCTATCAAAACGGGAGGGATTGCGCCTCGTGTAATACATAGGGCAAGTGTCTGTTAATGCTGAAGAGGTGTTCTGAGAGCTAGGGCACACTTCCTCAACTTGTACAGAAGTGGATCTTGTATCACTTAAAACGGCAGCCACTGAAACTGTCTGCTAGTACAAAGTCGTCCACAACTCCAACCTTGGGGCCGGCTTGTCCGAAATGAAACGAGACAAAGTCTTATCCAAGAGAGTAGAAAAGAAAACACTGAAAATACGAGTGCACAAATCTGCATCGGTCTTTACCTTTCGGTCCGACGACCTACCTATTCGCTTGTGATCACTCTTTTCCACGCACTCAAAAGATTTTGTCACAATTTGTTTCGAGCATGCCGGCCTGGCAAGCACAACTCGTGGTTCAAAGTTAGAAAAAAAAAAAGCAAAGCAATCAGAAGAAGGATGAGAGAAATATGTACAACTAGAAAGCATTTTGTTCCTCTTGTCCCAATTCTCATTGCACCGCTTTCTTACTCTGGATCATTGCCAACTAGCCCGACTCTCACTATTCTCTGGCTCACTATATACCGATCAACATACATTGCACGCTAAACGAATTGCACCAGTCACGTCCCAAACGTCACACACACTAACACAAGGCAAAGCTCCCAAATGCGTTTTCAACCCGCAACTTGACACTTGACACAAGTTTCGTCGAAAAAGTTCCAACCAAAATGTGGCACCAACCCCGGCACTCTGCTGTCTGTCCGCCGATATTCCACATTGAGCAGAAACGTCGCCGTTCACTCGTGAAAATCAAATCGTCGCGCGTTCTAATCCACCCGCAGCTCATCTGAACAGCATGAATCGAGAACGCTTCAACCAAACTTACACTTTGTGGTAGTTTTACTGGCTACCTTCGATTCACCTACACCTCTTACGCCAATTACGCTCGGTGCACACTGTAAGTTTTGACTTACGAGTGGAGCCTATCTTGAAACACAAGTGGTGCACTTTCCTTCTACTTTCCTTCACTGGTGCAGGCAAATTAAACGAGCCCAAAGTGCCTGAGGAAGAATACAGACGACAGTCAGTGGAGTGCCGGCATTTACCTGCAGGCAGTTCGAGCCGTCAAGCCACGAATCGTCGCCCACCTCCTCGAAGACAACTCACGGGGGTGCCGGTGGTCACCAAAACGGGGTGCCTCTTTTTGGCTGGGACAGCCGCAAAGATGCCCGAAAACACGTCTGGGGAAAAAACTTGAAGACACGTCTCTCTCCAAACGCAACCGTCATGGCGACTTCCCAAAACCGTCCACATCCCGGACTCCTTACCCAAGACCCGTCCAAACCCACCGCAAAAACCGGACCCATCCAGACCCATCATGGAGACCTCAGACAGCCTACAAAGCGGCCCGCCAATCAGTCAAAGGCGCACGTCGTCGCGCACTCCGCGAACCACACGAGATAAAACAGGATGGGAGGGGGTCGGGAACAGAGAGCCCCCGGACCGAAAACGAGATGGGTAAGGGGGGGGTCGGAGTTTGCAGGTAACCCCCGACTCAGTCTCAGGAGGTGGGGGAGGGAGTGGGGGGGAGGATGTGGCGAGGATGACAACAACGACGACGGTTTTCGGTGAATGTTGGGGATCGCCTCGCTTCAGTCGTGACGGTCCTCGCTGGCCGTGCCGCCCCTTGATGGCTCGGCTGTGTCCCCCTGCTGCGGGGACGGGAGGGCGGGGTCTTCCCGCAACGCCGGGCCAACCAGCGACGCGAGTTCGTCCGCCCCCCGCAGGTCGCCGTCCTGCAGGAGCAGGGCCTCCTCCTCGTCCTCCTCTTGGGGCGGCCATAGCCGTGGCGACCACTACGACCGGTCGAGCCGGAAGGCCTCCTCGGCAGCGGGGTCGCTAATCACCGCCATGTCGGGGTCCGTCAGGATCTGCAGCCCGTCGATGTCGATGGGGTCCAGGCCCGCCCGCAGTGCCTCCTCCGTCGAGAACAGGTCCGACGAATCGAAGGAGCCCAACGGGGACGACTGGTCGTTCTTCAGCCCGTGCTGCTGGCGGTGCTGCTGCAGGGCGCTCTTCAGCAGGGCCGCATCGTCCGCTCCAGGGCCTAAGTAGGAAACGCAGGACGTCATTGTGACACTTTGACTGAAAGTGGATACTGCGCGAAAGTAAGGAATTATACACTGGACACTGGAAATCATTATGTGAACGCTAGACACAGGAAATTGATGTTTGAACACTAGATACGGGAAATCAACTTGTAAATACTAGATGCCGAAATTGAATATGTCAATACTAGGTACAGGAATTGAATATGCGAATACTAGATATGGGAATACAACATGTAGATACTAAATACATAAACTGAATATATGAATACTAGGTACAGGAATGAAATACCGTAACATGCAGTCATCGCCTATCCCCGAGTAATCGCCCACCCCACTTTTTAGGCAAGTATTGATTTTCCAAAAAAAAAAAGAGTGATCACCCTAACATACAAATACCCCAACGCGGAACTTGGGATCCTTTCATTCTACCCGAATGACGCGTCCATGGACCTTATGGTTGGAGGACGTCCGTAACAATGTAAAACGAAGGAGGGAAAGACACTTCACTTAGTTTACGCATTTCCTCCTCAATTTCCACGGCCCCGAAGTCCGAGTACATGTGTGCGAAAGGAAACCGATGGAGATAACAAAATGACTCTGTCTTGCTTACAAATTTTTTTTTCCGGACAGCAAAACAAAAAGTTTGAAGGATGACACAACCAGTAACTTATTACGGCAGTGGTTGACAACCCACGGTCGTGCGCCCCCCCCCCCCTCTCCTCTCTGCCACTTTTTTATACAGACTCGAGGACATCACGGTAGTTTTAAATGGGGATTACAGTGATGTGATTGGTCCCAGACACCTTGGACCAGCTCCTGGAGTACTAAAAATAACTTTTGGAGTGTACGCACACACGTAATTTACATTCGTACCATGGCAAGTATTATGTTAAGATTAACGTAAAACCACTAAAAGGCAATGTCTACTTTGCCTTTTCGCTTATGTAAAACATTTTGATAGCATCGCTTGCACACCAGAAGCAACTGCCTCAGGCACGGAACTAGCTGTTTAGTTGCGTGGAGAAGCACCAGAAATGGTAACCAGAAGATGGCTGATGAACCATAGCATGAACTGCTGTGAATGGTTATTTCATGTACGGAATCCCGCTGAAATAATGTTACAATGCAATAATTTTGAGCACCTAAATTATTGTTTCCTTCAAGTTCTAGAGGTTGTACTTAGAACTGCAATTCTCCATTCACATTAATAAACAAAGCTTTTGTAATTTATTTATGAATGTCAATAACATTTTATATGGATAGTAAGCTCGTAACAAAAATTGGCATGTCAACTATTAATATACATTTTCTTATAAACAATCCTGTCGAACTCGCTAAGATTCTTCCCAAGCTTGCATCCACTGCTGCTGCTACTTTAGTTAATTTACTCCCAGATATTTAAAAGTATTAAATTGGAAAAAAATACTTGCAGGATATCGCAGTATGTAATACCGCATTTACTCGCATAATGAACGCACTTGCGTAATGAACGCATCACCCCAAGTTGGCTCTCAAAATTTCTATTTTTTTCCCCCTCACGTATAGGCGAAATCAAATCAAATAGTGTGTTATTTGAGGCGACAATCGAAAGTTTACGCCAAGCCGCCGCGAAGTGAGCCGGAGCCAAAGAGCGCAGATGAAGTAAATCGGCACCTTTTTTTCCTTTCCGATTACTCGTAGAGAGAACCAGTCGTACGAGCTAACAGCGCCATTGTGAAGCGAGCATCGACTCGGAAATGTACAGCAAAGTGACATGACCCACCTTTCTTGACATCACCCCGCAAACCCTCGTCAAATTCATGGCTCCCAGAGACCTTATGCCTCGCCAAAATCATGAACTCACCGACCTAATAAACCTATGCCCCTGACCAAACTCATGAAGTCATTGAACTCATACACTCACCAATCTCATACACTCACTGGCCTCATAAATGCATGCACTCGCCCAATTCATGAGTTCACCAAACTCACACCCCTCACCAAACTCATGAACTCACCAAACTCACGCCCGAACTCAACCTCAAATTCGCGAGTTTTGAGGCTTATGACTCACCCTCACCTCACGCCTGATCGGTGAGGGTGTGTGAAGTGTGTGAGTGCACTCATGAGTATGTTTTGCCAAGATATGACAGTGTTACAATGGCATTTTCTTATCAGCCATTTTGTTTTTCCAGAGAGCGAATGCAGTGGGCATCAGGTACTACAGAACCCCAAAGCATAAAGCGGGTTGTTAATGGCGTGGCGTAGCTCTGTGATAACGCCTCCACTTCGCATGCACCAAACCCAGCCATGTTGAACTAACCTGAGACTGGGGTAGAGAAGAAATGTTGATGTTTCTTCTCTACCCCAGTCTCAGGCTAATTCAACATGGTTAATATTCACCAGCTTGCCTGCACCCTTACGATTTTTTACCAAACCCAGGTTTGATTCCCACGGGCTGAAGCAATCTTTTGGAATTGGCCACATCGACGACAGACACCCACATCTTAACTACAACATCAGCTACTACAACATTACCAACTACAACTACAACTACTACAATATGAACAACGGAAATTATTTACACGGGTGGGAAGAGCCCATAACAGCTGTCACTGTAAGAAGTATTTTTATGGGCAGTTGCAACATTTTTTATGCTGTCTTGGCATTTGTTAGGCCGGCGCGCCGATCTTCGTCAGGATCTACCAAGATTCCCAATCTGGGTCGATCCAAGTCGCAAACTGTTCCACCTTGGAGCAATATGTGGTTGAGAAAACGTGATCCGTGACTCTACCTGCGACGCCACAGTCTAAGCGAAATCAGAAGAATTGCACACAAAGAAATGTTCCGCCTTCTTTGTGCTGGACAGATGTGAAAAAGATCTCAGTCGGCTCAATTTTGCGCCTCTCTCATTCCTCGCCGCGCCACGCGCCGCATCTGTTGAGCATCAAGTGTGTGTGGCGAATTCTGCTGTGCTGCTGCCGCTGCCGCGCTCACTCCTACGCCATCCGGTGACTATACACGCAATCGAGAGCAGCGCAGCCACTTCAAGAGCCTCCTCCGAACGACAGGTGGCGGTGCGGGCCACCAGTCAGTTTAGATAAGGCCGATATTATGCGGTCGGCGAATGCCTCTCATTCGCTGCGTGATTGGAGGTCTATGTCGGCGTTTAGTGATTATAGCGATTCATATTTCGATAACTCAGTTAAGTTTGTTGTGTGGAAGTTTGGACATAGGGAAATTCGTCTGCAGCAAGGAGTGCCTGGTGTCTCGGCTGTAAACGACAAATTTTGCCAGTGGCGGTACTGGCGGTACAACCACTATACTCCGCGTCACTAGTTATGTGCAGTGCAGGTGAAGGCAACGTCAGACGAAGAGAGAATGGGCAAGCACCAGGAACGCGGGATGGGAAAAGAGGGCAATGGAAGGCGAGGGGAGAAAGGAAGAGCACTAGAAACGTTAGAGAGGAAAGGAGGTTTCTCTCTTCCTCTCCGGCTCTCCTAGTGCTTCCCTTTCTTCCCTCGCTTGGCGTTGCCTTCGCTTGTACTGCACGGAACTACTGACAAATAGTATAGCCTAGTGTATTTTTAAATTGCATCACGCAGTGCTGAGTATACAAATGTGTGCCAAAACACTTTTCATTTAGAAAAAAAAAATTGGAAATTGAGCTTGATGACTGGATCCCGAGCTGCAAAGCACTAACAGACTTGGCCATCGTTCCCCCTTTTGATCAGTTCATTGTCAATGCTCAAAACCTAGTTTCTGATGTTGCTCATTCTATATTTGGCACTATATTGCTCCTAAAACACCTCGAATGTCATGCGGGTACATCGATATGCGATAACACAAAGTTGGTTTCGCGTGATAAATTTTTCGTGCTGAACTACTACAACAAAGTTATTTGCACTATGAAAGATTTTGCCATTCCCATGGACTTTGTTATAAAGGCCCTTGACCGTACTGGATACTAAATATAGAGGAAATGGATGAGTGAAAACTGGAATTGAATATTGGATACTGGAAGATCCATAACTGCACTAAATTTCTTTGTCCAGAGTATATTTATTTGTTTATTCAGATGCTTTAAAGCTGTCTTTGAAAAGGACATCACCTAAAGGGAAAGAAATACAATGTTTGGAGGAAGCAATAAACAAATAAAATTGCAACAACATCAATCAAAAATGCAAAAGAAATGCCAATTAATCGCACAATGCCTAAACTATATTAACAAAAGCATGAAAATGTTAAGGATTAGTCTTAGCAGCGAGGCTGGAATGATGCTAATAGAAATTAGAGTGAGCCCGTCTACTTCCACCCTCCACATTTCTTTATTTTTTTATTCTTTGGTTTTGCAATGTTGCTCGTACACACTTGAAGAAGGAAAGACTCTTTTTAAAATGTCTTGTGTCATTAAAGTCTCCGTTACTATCAAAATTTCCCTGGATATCTTTCACTTTGTGATAAAAAAACATTTTAAAGTACTGTATTTTTCTAACTTTAGCCCGCAGACTATGTGTACATGTTTAAAAGTTGAAATATTACACAATGCAGACTATTTACAGCTGTGGACTATATAAGGATTTGTTTTTCTTCTAAATCGTTCACTGTGACAAGACGTGAGGGATCTTATGAACGGAGTACAAACAAACCCGGATATATTGAATTCAAAGGGGATCATAAAATAGTTTGATGTATGAATAATTTGATACACAAAAATATCTGAAATTAAGCTAGAGTTGAAATTTCCGGGCATCTCTGCTAATATGGAAGGTCGCGACAAACAGGAGCTTGCCAATTAGAGCATCCAAGAGCTGCTAAATAGAGTGAAGCGTAGTTGGCTGAGATCACAAACACCGCCGCGCGTCGCCGCGCTTACACGCGCACCTGGCCGGGACCTCCACACCCCAACATAAGCAACAAAACACAAAAAACATTTTAAAAGCTAAAAAAAAAAAAAGAAACCGCAAAAGCAAGACAAAACAAAAGTTTAGCAAGCAGCAAAAAAGAAAGCTCACTAAATTCAGGCAACAAAAAAAAGGAAAGGTAAACAAAGCTAACGCATTCTAAGTGCGATCGCACAACCGTTGCTGTCGACACACTCAACTTTTTTTATATTTTTGCTAATTTTATTTTGGGGCTAGGGAGTCGCGCAGCGTCAGCAGTGTTCGGGGAAAGGGCACAGGCTACCATTCTGACAGCGGGCACTCCCTGCTCTCCCTACTCGCGCGTCGGTGCCCTCCCCTTGCTTTTGCCGTCCGTCTTTTTTTTTTTTTACGTTTTATTGCTTTTTGTTTTTTTTGTTTCTTTACAACTGCTCTTTCGCTGCGTATCTTACCGCGTGTATGCTGGCTCGGCAGTTTGCCAGCCCCGCAACACAAGCGATGTGTTCGCCACCGGCGCAATCGGATCACAGGAAAAGCAACGGGCAGCCGGGCTTTGTTCGCTATACCGAGTGTCAACCCACCATGGGAGTTCGATACAAAAAGACAACACTCCTATAGTGTTACATATGATTTTCAAGGAAATGATTGGACTGTTTGATATAGACAATAATTCAAAATACCCGATTGTGATATAACCAAGCTCAACTGTATATTAATGTTAATTTATGCATAATACAAGCTTCTTTGTGAGCTAATACAGCAAGCATTTGTCAAGGTGTGCTGTGTATCATAATCTTTGTTTGGATCAGGCACGGTGTGCGGACTATGCATGGCATGCAAACTATGCACCGGGTGCGGACTATGCACCGGGTGCAGACTATGCACCGGGTGCAGACAATCTAAGCAAAAGCTTTTATTTTTCACCCCAAATTTTTTCCTGCGGACCATGCACCGGGTGTGGAGTCCGGAAAATATGGTACATTCAGTATTCGAGTAACCATGACTGCTCTACTTGCTTGCACAGATCAGAAGTGAGATTTTGTTCTGCCCACCGGTGAGGATGATGTCGGGGATGCTGGTGGGGGTCTGGGGCGTCTGGGGATTGTCCGTCGCCTGCCCCTTCCCCGTGTACTGCATGTCCCCCGTGAAGTACAGCGAGCCGTGGGAGTAGCCCATGGGGCAGCTCAAGGGGTCCGCCATACCCCCGCCACCCACGTCTGGGAAGAAGACTCCGCCCGAGGACGAACTGCTCGTCGGAACCCCCTGGCTGTTGCAGTACCTCCCGTCGGGAAGCTGGGAGGGGGTGGACATTTCGTCCGCTTAGAACCCGTTCACCATGCAAACCCACCCTATAAAAACAACGAGCACTCGCAAAGGAAACAGATCTAGTAAAGCATGTTGCTGGACTGAAAAGCTGTGCGTAGGAGGGGTTGTCTTTTCAATCGTCTTTCCTGTGGGAGACAATATGTTGGACAAACTGGGCGGCGTCTTAATGCTCGCCTTCGTGAACATAACGCCATCGTCAACGCCAACCCTGGCCACTCAAGAATTTGCTGTCGGGATCGTGGGTGTTCGGCACATTTCAACAACAGTACCGTGTTGGGCAGAAGTGTCAACCAACAGACAAGGGAAATTATTGAAGCCGAGAACATTATACGACTGGAGGACAAATATGCTAGTGTGCAATCCATAATATTGTAACAAAAAAGGATTGACTATCAAGCCGCAAGTTTGTCTAGGTGCAAGAAGGTCATTTTGACATGTCGGAAGTTTGAGCAACAGTTTGTTTTAGTGTGCTCTAGTGTCGGTCATCATAAACCGCCAACTCGTTCAGCCTGAAGTTCTAACTGCTCGGATAGCTGGTGCACATTTATGTACAAAACAATGTAGTGCACAAAAAAGAAAAACAGAGAAAGTAGACAGGACAGGCACTACCTTTCAACTACCGCAAAGTCTTATATGAACACCTGCCCACGAGAGATCGCCCATCCCGTTTTTTGGGCTGAATATCCGTGGCATGAAAATCCCGAAACATTTTTTTAGTTTTCTTTCGCTACGTTATGCTGCTATAGAGTGCCTACACTAGCCTGTCCTTTCCTGAATAAAACCCGATGAAAACTAGCACCTGTTCTGTCTACTCTCTTATCCTTGTCTCTTTTTCTGTGTTATTTTATTTTATACCTAAAGAAATGACAGACTGCATCGCAACTGCTAATAACCACATACGAGAAGAGAAAAGACTGGCACCATCCATGAGGTCACACTGCAACTTCCGACCTGAGTATAACAAGACTCATGGTATCCTTTGCAAAGCATATAATGAAAGTATAAAATCAACTAAGCAGCATTTTTTAATGCACAAGTCTCGCTTTTTCTTCAAAAGTTTTCATCGGTGCACATTATACCAGGTGGGACTACTTGGTGTAATGATTGTAGGGATAGCCCACTTAAAATCAAGAGCAAATCGGGTGAAAATTAGGAGTGGGCTAACTTTCGGTCTACAATCAAGAAAAGTGGGGAAAATGCTCCGTTTAGTTAATAAGTCCCTGCCAAACATCTTATTGCGGCGAGGGACAATGAAGCAAAGATGAATATACTTCCCAGTCAGCACTGTTCACTTATATCACACCGTAGCTAACTAGCCACATTTATGCCAAGGCCATCATTGATCCAAACTCTATGATTACTAGGAGTGGGCTATCTTTCGGTGTTTGAGAAAAATGAGCAGATCAAACCAAAAATAGGGGTGGGTTATCACTCGAGATATTACGGTAGGCATTTTTTTTCTGTACATACTAACATTAACAGTACAAGTTTGCCACGGTGGGTGTAATTCTCGTATGATTTTTTGACAAAAATCCCGAAACTGGCTTTTGCCCGCAAATATATTACAATCGTAATACCCATGTACAGGTTTATCAATACAATTTTGCCGTGACGATTGTACAAATATATAAGTGCGAGTTTTAAAAAGATGTGACTTGTACAGTTTTTTTTTTTTTTTTTTTGCGTAAACGGTTGTTTATAGGGAGGGTGTGACAAATGGACCGGAAATGACGGCGCATTGAGTATATTCTTGGGTAGAACGAGTCTCTCGACCAAGATTGAAGTTTAGTCTGGGAATTTAGGCCCTTAAAAGGCTCGAAGAAGCCAAAATAGAACCAAACTTGACCTCCTTTGGCCAGAGTCCAGGCGTCTTGTTCCATATTCGCCAAACGAGCGCCAACGTCACGCTTCGCCGCTTGCAGTTTGGCTGCCGTCTGGCATCTCTCGGGCCCAAATCGCCCGACAATATATTGTCACAATATTTTTTTCTCACTTTCTAAAATTTTTTAAACATTATTTTTTGTTTGTTCATGCAACAGTTGGAGACGCGTTTCAGGCAGCATTCCACCGAGGGCGGCTGCAAAGGAGAAGAGAGAGACCCACCACGAAGTACTGGTTCTGGCCGGCCGAAGGCGGGTGGTCCTCGGCGCCCCCCGTGGCTACCCTGAACTGCTCCATCTGCTGCTGGAGCGGAGAGGTGCTGCCCATGGCCGACCCCGCCCGGCCGTAGCCGTTGCCGCCGCCGTAGGGGCTGCCCACGGGCCCCGGGGGGGAGGTGGGCGAGGAGGAGGCCCCGTGGGACACCGGGGATCCCGGGGCACTCCCGGAGCGCTCAGAGGGCGCCCCGCCCTGGTACAGTTGCCGCGGGCGCGGGCTGGTCGGGGTCTGCAACGTGCAACCGTGCGTCCGTCGGTGAACTGTCCGGCCAGATGCTCATTGAGGGCACCAAAGACAATGGACCTTTTTCCGGTAAGCTTCCGCCAACGTTACTAGAACACTCAGTTGGGGAACTCACCGTTGAAACCTGGACCGCTGGCGTCCACCGAGACCGAGCTAAATATGACAACAGCGCCACTCTTCATCCTTTGTCTTTACTATGGTCACCTTGAGCTTTTAGAAAGCATGTTTTTGCGTAAAAACCAACGAAAAAAATTCTTTTTGTCGTAACTTTTATTGGAGTTTAGTACAAAATGAAGGGCACATGATGTTTTCTAAAATCTTTAGTTTGCAAGGTTTAGCGGTACAATTAATGTTGGTTTTATACAACCATGCCTCAGCGGTGATTTCAGGTAGCACGTCCTGACCTAGCTGCATTCCAACTTCAGTAATAATTCACGGCGCGTCCGCTTGGGAAACGGGGGTGGCATCCCTGAAACCCCTTCCACCGTATCTGTTTCAGCTCCAAAATGGCCGATTAAAGCCAAAACAGAAGTTACATGCAGTTCCTCGAGTGGCCGTTGCGGGAGAAATGGCGGCGTTGCGATCGCCATTAGCTAGGTTCTCGAGTACGGATCGGTGCCACTTTTTCAGAGCAGGCTCTATGGCAGTTGCCCAACTGAGTGGTTCTAGTAACATTGACTTCCGCACATGCATACGCCCTCTCTCTTGCCCTGCTTCCTGCTGTCGCCGTTTTCGAAGGGCATCGTCCCACGAGCCACATATTCAGCACCTGTCTTTATGCATATTTCGTCTTTTCTGACAATTCTTTTTGAGTATCAATAGTATAAAGCATAGGTAGTAGTGAAAACCGATAGGATAGCACGAGGCCAATGTGTTCTGACGGGCGGAGGCACGTTGGTGGTCCCTTCTTGTAGTTCATAGAGAACTCCCTAGGCGATGTTTGTCACTAAAAAAAAGTCCATTCCATATTTGTAGTATGATGTCACGCAGCAAAGTCGACGTACCATATTTACTCGCATAATTTGCACACTTATCTTTTTAAATATCTGTCATCAGGAACGGGGTGCACAAATTAAGCAGATATTTTGGGAACACGTCCCACATAACACATCTGCAAAGGCTGTAGTGTATATAAAAACACAAATAACCAAACGGCAAATTTGTTTTTTTTTATTTTACAAAACGCATTTATTTTGTTTATTTCGAGTCGCTGTTGGAGCTCTCGCACTCGGTACTATGACTGTGATCGTCGTGGTTGTAGTTGTCACTCCATTCTACATAGCATCGTCTTCAGTTACCTCATCACTTGATAGTCCTGTCTTCTTGAAGCTCGACTCGACAATGCTGGGAGAGACCATGTCCCACGTTGTTATAACCCACTCGCAGACTGTTTCCACGGGCGGTCTCTTTATCCTTCCGCTGGGAGTGAGGCTGTGTTCTCCGCTGGTCATCCATTCTATATAGATTTTGCGCACATAGTCTAAACGGTTTGTTGATTGACACATCCATGGGCTGTAGAACTGATGTTAGACTTCCCGGGATGACAACAAGGTTTGTTTTCATGTCCTGCAACTTTTGCTTCACGCTGTCGACAAGGTGACACCTGAAGCGGTCCAGTACCATCAGCGATAGCAGTCGCAAAAGAGCACCTGGTTGTTTTCCCCAAACTGTTTCAATCCAGTCTTGCATTAAAGCTTCATTCATCCATCCTTTTTCATGGACGCGGATATTGATGCAACCTTGCAGTTTCACTTTTGGCAACGTCTTGCACCTAAAAATGACAAAGGGCGGGAGCTTTCGCCCATCAGCAGTTACCGCCAGCATGACAATGCAGCGTTGCTCCTCACAGCCAGTTGTTCTTACAGGAACAGCTGAAACACCTCTTTCGCTTACTGTAGTGTTAGGTGGCATATCGAAGGTCAGCAGCATTAGATCTGCGTTCCCGATCTGGGACATAATAAAGTTGTCCGTTTCCTGCAACACGATCACGAAACAATGAAATGCCAACACCTTCTCTTCATAGTCTTCGGGCAAAGGCTGGCAAAGAGTTGTCCTTCGTCTCAGAGATAAGTGATGGCATCTCATGAAGCCTGTCACCCATTCTTTGCTAGCCTTGAACGTTGCAGCCAAGATCCCTTTTTCTTATGCAATCTTTCTTGCCTGAAACTGTAGCATCTCGCACGACGCGGCGTGACCAGACGACCTGTGATCTCAAAAATACTGTAGCAGTTCATCTTCAACCGCAGGAAAGTTCCTTCATTCGGGCCCCCGGAACGCTTTTCTTCTCTTCACCAATAACGTATGTGGCTCTAGTTCAGCCTAAACTGCCTGGCAGCTGCGCGGTTTTTATTTTCCTCAGCAAACTTTATCACAAGGAGCTTCAACTTCACTGTATAGATATTGTAACCCATAACAAGATCAATCGTCGAGAAAACCGTTTACGGCGTCAAACTTAAACCACTCAAGCTGAACAATGAAAAGCATGCGCTTTGGCGCTGCAGACTTCTGACCACTCCACACGACCGCAACCTACCACACAACGGTTCCCACATCCGAGAATCTCAGTGTGACGTCATGCTCCCTAACAGGCTAGCCACCTCGCAGCACTGAGCAAGCGGCGCGCGTGTCCCATAGCTCCCGTAGAGCTGCATCTTTTTCGCACTCTTGCCTCTCTCACTCCTCTCGCAGCCGCGCGGAATGTCCGCAGCTTAGCTTGCGCGCCCATGGGGCGTCTGGAGAAACGGTTGGCGAGCTGGCGCAGAACGATGCAGAGCGTGCAAAATACGGAAGTTTTTTTTCTGGAAATCTGGGCCTTAAGTTAGGGGTGCGCAAATTATGCGTGGGCGCGAATTATGCGAGTAAATACAATAATTTCTGTCAAACGACATTATGTGATCGGCCAGTCGGCACGCACCACTCTGGGCGTAGCACGGTGCGTGCGCGACGCTCGTAGTCAGAACTGGAAGCTGGTTGGCCGATCACATAGTCGTTTGACAGAAATTATATTAACCTTACCGTGGGCCAAAGGTAACAAGCGTGCCAAGTGCCGTGGCAGAAATGTTCACCGCCTCAACCGCAGAAAGCACTATCGCGTGAAAACGTTATTGTTACCGTGCTTCATCGCTAGACCCTCTTCTACTTATCGGAACAACTGGTCATTCGGTTCTATGCGAAAAAATAGGCGCACTGCTCCATTCGTCGACGGATTGCTGTCACGAAAAGCGGTCTGCTGTTGTACAGCGGCACGTTGTTACACTGCAGCGTAGGTGACACAGAAAAATGTGGCAGACCAACCGACCTGTGGAAGGCCGGGCGAGGAAGGCGGGTAGCCCAGGGGAGATGCCAGCGGCGACCCCGGCTGCTGCTGGGACGCCTGCGGGGACTGGGGAACGTACATCCCCAGCTGCTGTTGCTGTTGTTGTTGTTGCTGCTGTTGCTGCTGTTGCTGCTGCTGCTGCAGTTGAGATGGATGACCTCCCCCTCCGTAGCCTTCGAGGGAGAGCGCATTGGTGTCCATCGTTAAGCCCTGCGTAGAGAGGGAGCACACGGCCGCAGCCCGGGCCCCCCGGGGAGTTAGCAGACTGCCCGCACAAACTCATGCTCTGTTGCGCGAGTCTAAGCGCGCGAAAGGACACAGAATTTGAAACCAGACGCGGTTGCTAGAACTAAAGGCACTCAATAAAATCTGCCCACAACTGTACACAGAAACGGCGCATGTTTCTCAGACTTCCGCTCCAACAGAACTTAAACAAAGAGGCTAAAGGTCGGTTCGCATACCTGTGTCTGCTTACGACCGAGCTCTGGCTGCCTCTTACGACTAGCAAACGCGCTAGCATGCTGGCGCCATGTATGCGAAGACCCTGGAACTGCATTTGTCTAGAGTGAAGGTTTTGCGGTATTTGCGAGACCAAATGTACACACTATCCGTGAGAATCATAATACCCGTGAGAATCATAGTATCAGTGAGAATACACGGGGAAATTGCAAGTGTTCTACATCTACCCGATGGGTAGCGCTGACGTGTTATCTCATCGTGAGAAATCACAATGTGGTTGGTAATAAGCAGAAACAAGCGTGAGAACCGGCCTTAAAGGGGTACTCCGGCGATTTTTTTTAATTAAGCTACCCCAACTAGCCATATTTTCGTAATCGTCAGCCTTTACCCTTTCTGGCCCTCTGTTTAATATCGCGAAATTAAAAATAGTTATTGAGAAATAGGAAAATTAAAATAGTGCCGAAACCAACGTTCGAATATACCTGCATTTCTCTACGCCGCGACGTCAGCTTCAGGCAAGCCTGCCGGTCGAGAGGGCAGTCTAAAAAATAAACTATGCCGAGCATTTGCTTCGCGCTGCTGCGCAAATGCTAGAGCGAGCTTCCAGAGAAATCCTTTGACAGCAAGAAATAGCTTGTACTCGGTTGGGAACAAATCCCACAGTCCAAAATTGCCAGTAGAGACTGTCAGTTTGAAAAACACGTTGAGCACTAAAATTGTAAATTTGATAGGGGGATCAATGGCCAAGTGGGCTGGCGCACACCCGCTTGAAGCACGTGAAGTGACAGTTCGCGCTGCAGACACCCAGGGATCCTGAGTTCAATCCCCACCCCTGCCCTTTTTGATCCGGATGAGCATCGTACCGGCATGCGGTCGTTTATCTGCCTAGTGCCTGTTAAAAAACCCCAGACTAGCGGTTGTACTGCACTGGCTAAATTGCTCATCTACAGCTGAAAGACAAGTCGCCCGTTGAGGCAGACCAAGTTTAGACTGTACAAACATACAGACAACCCTTTTTTTTTTTAATTTGATAGTTTTGGGGGGGGGGGGGGGGGGGAATTATTTTGGCCTAATATTTGGGATATTATATCAGAGATGTTTGTTGATGCGCGTAGAAAATTTTTATGAAAATCGAGGACCACGAAGGAAACTCTGGAGTGCCCCTTTAAGACTGTCAGGCTTGGTCTCTTGATAAAATGTTAGTTCGGCTTTCTGAAAAAATTTCGTCATCAGCACAGATCCCTCTGTTCCCGGGTCTTTCTTCCCAAAACTTTTGCATTGTACATTTTCCGAACGACTGGACATTCACAAAATAAGCACAGTCATGCCTTCACACCCATAGAGACGATGTTCACGCACCAAATAGAAAGCCTCTTTCGGTACCCCCCAAGACTTTAGCCAAATGCCAAATTTGTTTGCTTCGATGCTTAAACAAAATAAAATTTCTAGCCAACTCAATGCCTTCAATAAGAGAGAGAGAGAAAGAAAGAAAGAGACACTTAATTTCGACCCAAATGCTTCCTCTCAGCATTTTAGCCTTTTTACAGTTCTATGCATACTTCGCACGAAAGTTTGCCTCAATGTCTTGCAAAGAGAACATAGAAATCATGCCCAAAAACCAACTGTTTTGACTACCTCCTACACAAAAGTTACACAAAGCCAGATGATGACAACAGCCTTTTTATGCTTTGTTACGCCAGCCACAAGGCAACAGAGTTAAAATGTAATCAAAGCAAGTCTCGCTTGGTTTTCTCTTGTCATTTCATTGCGAATTTCGGCAACATTCGATAAGAATAACAGGAATTCAGAAGGAAATAGAGAGAAAATGCTTTTAAAGCATTGCTTCTAGCAACTGACAATTACTTTAATCACATTCCCACTCTGTCAACTAACATTTACCATGCCAAGTTTCTCGCTGTTGCCAAACTGCTCAACACATTTTTTTGCTTCAGGCAGTCTCGAGTAGTTCCCATCTAAAGCACCACAGAGCAAACAACACTTTTATTCAAAAAGCAAGTGAGTTAGGCACGAGATAAAACAAAATTTTGAACATTTTGTTTTATCTCTAGAGAAGTCTCAAACCTAATGAAGTCTCAAACACAAAATGTCTGAAACTTCACTAGGATCAGACAAGGAACTCTCAATAATAAGTTAGGAGATTAGGCACAAGATGAGCACACCACAAAGTTGCACAAGAGGTTTAAGGCCCGTCCACACACTTGCGTTCAGAGCGACTGCCACGCTTACGAACGAATGCAACGGTTGAAACGACGCGTTGCCGCGACAATGAAGCACCAAATCGCCGCGCCGTTCGTGTTCGTTCGCAGCGCAAGGAGTTTAGCCGTGCCAAACTTTTTCGCCATATTTGGGAACGAACGAAGAGGCCACATCGACAGACCAATTACTAGTCAAGGAGAGCTGGCTGCACGAGTTGCATGCCGGTCGTGGTTTCTGACGTCTGCCAAAAAACGAGGCATCGGCGGCGATTTTCGACATGGTCAGCATGGTGGAAACTCAACCTTTCGCGTAAAGCGCTGTCCTCGACTGCGGAATCTCGCTGTGCGTCACGACAACAAATCGGCACGTCCTAAAAGAGAAGATCCGTCTGCTTATGCGGCGACGACGCGGCAGTAACCTCAAGACAGTAGAAACGTTCATGCCGTCATGTTTGTTTATATCGACTCCAGCAGTCCTTTCTTAGCATGTGTATCCTTGAACATCGCTTGGATTTTCTAAAACAAGGCGGTAAGTTGGGCTAGTTGGTTTAACATCGTCAAACGTGAAAAACAGCGCAAAAAATTGAACAAAGGACAAGTGAAAGGAGTGCACGGACAAAGCGCTGACTGTCAACTAAAGTGTAATTTTCAGGCGAACCAGAAAAATAAACACAGAGCATAGGAAAGAACCAATAAAGACACAAAAAATTTACAACCCAACCGACAAGATTTCCACCACGTCATCACCCTCACACATGCCTGCCATTCTCCCTGATAAAAAGGACCTCATCATCCCCCAAGTGCACCGACGGTGCGCTCACACATTGCCCTTCCCCTTTAGATAAAATGAAAAATGCCTCGTCAATCTCCCTGGCGGTCTTACTTTTATTGCATGCCAAGATCGTCAAGTCATGAAAAACAGGTACGCAGCCACACCTACTGCAATGTACCGCTAAGTGGCCAGCGGGGAAGGAACGGAGAGAAAGGGAATGAGAGGGCAAGGGAACATTCCCTTTCTCTCCGTTCCTCCCCCGCTGGCCACTTAGCGGTACATTGCAGTAGGTGCGGCTGCGTACCTGTTTTTCATGACTTGACGATCTTGGCGCGCAATAAAAGTAAGACCGCCAGGGAGATTGACGAGGCATTTTTCATTTTATCTAAAGGGGAAGGGCAATGTGTGAGCGCACCGTCGGTGCACTTGGGGGATGATGAGGTCCTTTTTATCAGGGAGAATGGCAGGCATGTGTGAGGGTGATGACGTGGTGGAAATCTTGTCGGTTGGGTTGTAAATTTTTTGTGTCTTTATTGGTTCTTTCCTATGCTCTGTGTTTATTTTTCTGGTTCGCCTGAAAATTAAACTTTAGTTGACAGTCAGCGCTTTGTCCGTGCACTCCTTTCACTTGTCCTTTGTTCAAATTTTTGCGCTGTTTTTCACGTTTGACGTTGGATTTTCTATTTTGCGTACTTCGTACATGGGCTCAAGTTCAAGGTACTACTGGTGTGTGTTGTTTTCAAAGAAGCGTCTTAAGGATGCGAATCTTTGCACGTTTTAGTCGTCCGAGAAAAGCAATTAATGGCGGCATTTCCGAACGCTTGCAACGCCTATGTGAGCACGAAATCGTATCTCCACATTGCTACATAGCTGCTAAATTTGCGGCGTAAAATCGTAAAAAAAAGTGTGCGGCAAGATTTGTACTATTAGCAAAGTTCCGCGCTAAAGTCGCAATCGTCCGAGACGGCCTACGGGGTATGATTCTTCTCTCTTTTCGTCCCGTCGGCTCTAGGAGCCCTATCCTGTAAAAATTAAAATAAATAAAGCTAGAGGCTGTTCGAAACTCTCTATCCATTTTCTGTTAGACCAGCAAGTGGCAGTGTGTCCCCTCCTTCTTAAAGGCGCCTCGAAAACGGCTGATGGCAGCTGAGAGACGGCTGCCACGCAGACGATCGCCATGTTTGCCAGAGTTTCTGCGTTTGTTGCAGTGATGGCAAGAGTGCGTACACGCGGCGCAGAGTGGTCGTTCTGTTCATAACAAACGCAGTGCTCGCTGCAGGTGTCTGAACAGGCCTTTAGAGAGGAGTTCACAAAAAAAAAAAAAAGTTAGATTGAGGATTACGCACGAGATTAGTATGAGCAGATGGGAATGAAAAGAAAAGCAACAGGGATTTTGGATAGGTGATTGGGGAGGATGTTTGATGGAATTAGGGAGGAACTGAGATGGAATTTGGGGAGAAAAATAGACAAAGCTGAACCGCAAGTAAGGATGAGGTAAAATGAAAATGAGGGAAAAAGCATCAAACAAAGATGGTATGGGATTAGGGAGGAATTGCAAAAAAGTTGAGATGGGATGAAATATGAGATAGGATTATAAATGAGACAAAGGTAAGACAAGGTTAGGAAGGAATTGAGACAAGGTTGAGATGGGATTGTGCGTTAAATACCGTATTTATTTGAATATAAGGCGAGGTTTTTTCCAAAATCCGTAGTCTCAAAGCCATACCCCGCCTTACATTCGAAGCTCAGTATAGCAATATGACGATTTTTTTTCTTTTTCTTGGGTCCTTCAACTGCCCCCCCCCCCCCCCCCCCCCTTATAATCGTGATCGCCTTATATTCAAATAAATGCGGTAAGTCAGGTTTGATGGAATTGGGAGGCAATAAGGCAGAGATAGGATTATGAAGGAATTGAGACAAGGCTCAAGTGGAATTAGAGAGGAGACAAAACATCAGGAGAGATTATTGATTAAATAAAGCAAAAGTTAGATGGGAATAGGATGGAAATGAGACAAATATGATGAAATTATAAATTACGGTTACAGAATGTTTATCCTATTCTATATTCTGGGCCTTAAAACACTGTCCTACGACACCTTCCAAGAGAAGGAAGTAGTATCTGTAACATAAATAATACTAAAGTTCGATGAAATTATAAACGGAATCAAATAAAGACAATATAGACTTGGGAAGAAATTTCCAGAAAACTAGGTGGCAATGCAAAGTGAATAAAACAAAGATGAGATGGGATTATTGATTAAAAGTACTGCAGTTATATGGGGGTTAGGGAGGAAATGAGAAGGAGAAGACATGGAATAATGAAGGAGTTTAGGTAAAGCTACATGGCAATGGGGAGGAAATAAAACAATACAATGGGATCATGGATTAGACGAAGACAAGGTAAGACAAAATTAGGGATGAAATGGGACAAGGGTGAGAAGGGATTACGGAGTAATGTAGATAAAGCTATAGATGGCAATGAGGAGAAAATAAAACACTGAGATGGGATCATGGTAAGTGCGACAAAGGTTAGACGAAATTAGGGATGAAAGCAGACAGAGATGAGATGGGATTAGGGCACCAGTGAAACGACTCCCTACAGGTGGGACCAATCTCCACTCGGAGAAAAGTCAGCAGCATGGGGAGAGGAGTATGGAGAGAGCGTGGAGAGAAGGAGAAAGGCTCTGCCCTCCAATGTCCAAAAAGGACCTTAAAAAGACCCTTCGGAAAAAAAAAAAAAAAAAAAAAAAAAAAAAAACCATTTCCTCCAATGTGACATTAGCACTAGTGCATATGCAAAATGAGGAAGATAGCCATGCTGGGGAGAGCAAGGTGGCAAGAGAAGTCCAAGCAAGGCTGTTACGAGGGTTAGTGGTTTTCGGTATTGACAGAACAAAATAAGAAAGAAAATAAATACAATTATGTTTTTTTGAGACCAGTGAAAAAAAGATAAGCACCCAAGATCTGGTCAACTATTCAGTATTTGGCCTTACTTTATACCAGGTATATTACAGAGTTGATACAAATCAGTACATCATTCAAATACCTCATCATCAACATCATTCAAATAGGCATAACTCAAGTGCCTGATCAAAAAGACTCGTACAACGGATGCTCTCAACGACGTGCTTTTGCTCGCTTTTGGCCACCACTGTCAGCTTCTGCGCACAGCCTTTTCCCCCCATTGTACGAGCGAGAATCACACCAATAGTAGATAGTTACTGAGACACGCAGATTTCGTCTAGGTAAACTATATGATTTGTCGCTTTAAATTGCGCAGAAAAGAAAAAAACACCGAAAACCACAAACCCCATCTACGACTTGTAGGACTTGGGACAGAAAATGAGAAGGCAGAATGGAAACACGCAACATGTCTGAAGTGGAGATTCCCGCTGTCATTATAAGCGAGCCAACTACGAAAAAGGTTGTCTTGAGACACCACTTCTGCCTTAATGACCAAGTCATTAAGGCAGACGTCACGGTGACCTAATGACTTGCCATTAATGTCTGCCTCAATGACTTTCACTTTTGCAGTGGGACCATTAATGCGAATCCAAAATGTCATTAACATGCATCGTAGGGTAGTGATGCAGTACAATGACCATTTAAATTGAATTCATTGCGCACTAACTTGCAGCACGAGCTTTTTGCTCAAAATGTTGAAAACCCTGCGGTGCGTTAGTACGCTCCGTTGCCGAACCGAACTAAAACCGCAAATCCTACTTTCAGACAGTTTGAGTGTTTCCAGGAGCAAAGGAGCAGACGGCATGCAAGCAAGTCCCGCAAACCAGTGCGGCCATAAAAGCAGACGTGCCAATGGTGCATCTTTCGAGTTCTCCCTTTCCCTCAATTTTAGGATGGCAACGCGACCCAAAACAGATCAAGACGGAAACCAAGGGTGCTTTCAAATGCAGCGTGGAAGCTTCCAAATTACGAACAAAAAATAAACAAAAAGATTTGTTTGAGTAACTACCAGTTCCATTTAACGAGTTCTTCGCAGTCTTTAAAGGCCGACATTTATTTAGTGTTGCCCATTTTTGCAAGCTTCCTCTCGTAGCAAATTTACGTCAGCCCCTCTTAGCCTTCCCTTCCGTTGCTACCCTCATAGCTGAGCAGAGGAAGAAGCTGAAGAGAAAATCGAGTCCATGTGTCGGCCTTTAAAAAAACGCCGCGGGAGAAGCAAATCTTAAGAGATAACACGAGCATAACAAAGACCCAGCAGTGCAACGAATCAACAAGCACTACTCGTACAAATTTTCTATTTCATCGAGCGGGGCAAGTGACTCCGAGGAAGAGAATCCCGCACGTGTTTGAACACGACACGCTTTGCCAAATCGGCAAATAACGATTTCTACCTTGACCGCACGCTCGTAACAAATCAACGGCAAAATTATTACAATCGAAAACTCCCCAGAGATGCCCCACCCCGAAAGGTAACCCGCCCCCTATTTTTGACTCGATTTGCTATTTTATTTTAAACACCGAAAGATAGCCCACTCCTAGTAATCGTAGTGTTCAGATCAGTGCTGAACTCGGCATAAATGCGTCTATTTAGCTATGGCGGGATTTAAGCGAACGTTGCTTACTGGGAAGTAGTCATCTTTGTTTCATTGCCCCTCACCGCAATAACAAGTTTGGCAAAAACACATAATCTAAAAATAGCTTCTTTTTTTTTTTTTTTACTTTTTTGGTTGCACACCAAAATTTAGCCCACTCCCTATTTTCATCCAATTTGCTCTCGACTTAAGGTGGGCTATCTCTCAGGATATGACGGTAGGCCCCTAGCTACACAGGTATGGCGTCTGCCAGCGAACGGCACAGGAACTAGCGTCTGCTTCGGCACACCACGTTTCGTGTGCAAACACGTGCGGCAAAACGAAGATAGAAACAGGGGATGCAAGCACTACGAAGGCCTCTACGAAAGGAAGTGCTTGACCCGCAACGTGCCAAGACGCGCTTGGAAGGGTGGTCGTGGGAGCTGCCCGGCCGACTTCTGAAACGCTTGAAGAACGAATGCCTCGTTGTCTCTAGAAGTCGGCCGAGCGGGGCCCAATTGACAGGCATCATTAAGACGCAGCAGTCGGGGCGAACGCCGCTCGAACGCCGACGCCTCGACGCTTTCTCGTGCCCGACTCTGGCGCCAAACAACTGACGAACTAAGGCAAATGATAGTGTAAGACCAAAAGAAAACTGAGTAACCAGTGCATCGTCGTCGGTAACTAAAATGAACGCCGCAAGCTATGGGGCCAGATTGGTTCGGATAGAACGTCGCTAGTCCAAAAACATGCCCGCTTTACCTTTACGTGTTTCTATACCTTTAGTCCTACGTGCCATGTATCTATAGGTGCCAAAAATGAGTGCATTATTTTCTGTTTCGGACAAGTTGTGAAAGTCAACCTAGACAGAAATGCAATGCAGCGTGGCGCAGTCGACACAAAACATCTCAACCAGCCTTCTGAGTTCATTGCATGCTTAGAATAAGGCTTCTAAAACGTTCTTTTCCATCTCGAAAACTACAGCAAAGCATAATTTGCATGATGTGTGTGGTTGGCACCGAGAGTGGATACAAGTAACCAGTGGGCGATATGAAACCTGCAACCGTATTCTGTACATTCCCCTTAATGTGGCACCGCGTCTCTTCGACTTTAATTTTTTACCATGTCTTCTCAACCCAGACTGCACAGTCCGATGACGCAAGAAAGAATACCTATCCTTAGGTCGCAAAAAGAATGTCCCGAAATAAACTCTTGGGCTGGTTGGGTCAACGTGTCAAAGACACATGTAGCGCTAGATACGAGGACGAGCAGAAGTGTACAGGGTAAGCGTTAACTAGCAACTAGAGTTTTATTTAATGCACGAGACAAGGGAGACGTGAGCAGTAGTGGTGTTAAAATGAAGTATAAAAGAAGGAAAAGAGCTTCAAGAATGTAAGATACAGTTATAAAGGAATAAGATGAGAGAAGAACAGAATTAAGGATGGATTATAAAGAAATATATATATATTGCACGCAATTTACAGAGAAAGACCAATTGAACAAACTTCGAGGGACCTAAAAAAAAAGTTTGTTTATGAGAAAGTTACTCAACTAGATGCATTGGACATAGTAGGGTTTTGCTGGGGAATTTGACAAAAAAAATAGTCTGTTCAACTGGAGTTTGCTCAAGAGTATTTCACTGTAACAAAAAGAAAAAAATAAACAACAAAAAAAAATATGCTGAAAGGCGTTTCGGCGGCAGCGTGAGGCGAGACGCGAAAGCACCGAGCTCGCGTCGACGGCGTTTGCCCCGAGAGCCTGCCTTCCCCCCTCCCCGGTGCCTTCCCCCCTCCCTGGTGCCTTCCCCCTCCCCGGTGCCTTCCCCCAGGCAAAGCAGCTTCTCCCTACCTCCACAGTGATCCGGGGTAGGTGAGGTCTTTGGTGATGGTGGTGTTGGTGCGGGGAGGAAACACGTACTTGCCCTTGGCCGGGCGAGCCGTGGTGGCGGCCCCCGCCCAGCACCACGCTCGTCGAGCTGTGGTGCGCACGCCGCCGGGACGACGGGGACGGGGCTGGGCCGGGGCTGCCCCGGCGCCCCGACGGGCTCGAGCCCGGCCCATGAGGGGAGCCCGGTCCCCCCGGCGAGCCGTTGCCCACTTGCCCTGCGAGCGAGGAAAACCGAGGGTCACCGAATGCCGCCACAACACCAACCCTACGGTGCTTTGGACGCGCCTCCGCGTTCGCCGCGTCCCTAAAAAGCGGTCCTTCGATTTCCACCCGAGGACGTCGTAAAAGTGTCGTGCCATCACCGGCCACTCCCCGGCTCGATGGATTAAGGAATCATAAACAGCCAACAGCTGAAACTCTGCACACTTTTTACCCGGTCTTCTACCACCAACAGCCAGGATCGCGACGTTCGACAACGTGACCCGCCGCCTTCAGCAACGTCGTTCGTTACCGCTTTGGAACTGCTTTCGATGTATGGGTGGGATAAGATGCATCGGTTACAGATGTGTTCCATGCACCACACTGAAACTTCCCAAGTTCTGTCCGCCACCGCGGTTGTGCTCTCTACTTTGTAACGTTGCCCCGAGATCTTGACTCCCCCCCAATCAAAATCAGGCACCCCGCCCCTTAAGTAGAAAGATTATGATAATACTTAATTATTGGAAATGGTACTTCTAACAACCAACAGCCAAGATCGCACCATTCCATGGCCCGACGTGCCAGCTCTTGCGACTTAAATCTTGTCGGCACTTCGGTTGATCTCGTTTTGCCTCATCGTTGTCCTTGCGTTTATTTGGCACTGTTCTCTCGTACGTCATCCCAAACTGGGTCCCTAGAAATCCAGGAGTTTCCCGCAGTAGCCAGACGGGTTCCACGAGCCCCAACATTTTCTTGACCAACCCTGTTGCTAACCAAGGTCCATTTCCAGTTCAAGCACTACGCACTACTTTAGCAGGTCTGAGCGATCCATTGCAGCGTAACTTTGGTCCAAATACGGTAGGCTCTCGATGACTCCAACCCTAATATTTCATACTTCTGATTAATTCAAACAAATTAAAAAAATTTGGTTGTTCCACTGTTTTTAATGTCAATGATAAGCCACTGAATTCAAACGGTGTTTCTGTGCAATTCCTACTTTTCATTTTCGCAACACTGTTAGCGCGTTTCTTAACGAGCGCCAGTGCGCTGCGGAGAAGCAGAGCCCGCGGAGCTCGCTTCCGCGGGCGCTCCTTGCTCTAGGGCATATCTCGGCGGCACAAGCTCTCGTGCATTAAGGGCAGCTGCCAACGCTATGATTTCGTGCTTTTAGCATTCGCTGCGGTACAACATACTAAGGTGAAACAAAGTATAGCTTACAACAAAAAAGTCCAGCGGCGTGTGCTTGCCAGGCCGAAAAACAAGGTACACACACACATACACAAAAAAAAAAGAACCTGAGCACATCGATGCAAGACATCGCGAGCCAGGGTCAAAAAGTTCTTGGAGCGCTTTGTGCAACAACTGAACTGCGGGTTCAGGTCAACAAAAAAAACAATGTACAGTGTGTCACAAAAAGAAAAAAGAAGTTTACAGTGTTTTTTTTCACTGTAAATTGTTTTCACTAGGCATCGCCAAATGCTCATTCTCTGCCCATAGGTAGCGCTAGAGGTCACAACCAGGTGCCAAAATTTCAGCCCGATCGATACCTCAATCAAAAGTCATAAGTGAATTTCTGAAAATTTCAATGGGAAAATGGAGCCCATTTTTGCCCATTTTCGGTTTCTGGTGCCCATAAAGCTCCATGTATTCGAAAACTCTGTCGGCCGCCATTTTCCAACTGAAATTTTTAGAAAATCACTTATAACTTTTGATTGAGGTATCAGATCGGGCTGAAACTTAGGCATCTGGTTGTGACTTCTAGCACTACCTTTGGGCAGAAAATGAGCGTTCGGCGGTGCCTAGTAGTTTATTTTTGCATTAAAAAAAAACATGTAATTTTTTTTTTGTGACACCCTGTATATACATTGCCTTTTTTCTTTTAGCTCACTTCTCTTCATTAACTTTCTTTCGCGGCAGATTTTTCATGTACCGGAGTCCCTCTTGAAAGAAAGCACACCAAGCGAAACCTAGGTAATCAATACTTTGACACAGCAGTCTTTGAATTAAAGTATTTTTATAGTAACATACGATTTTAACAAGAACAGGAATGTTGATGAACGTGCGGCGGTGCTTAGTTTCGTTTTAAAAAGCGCCATATCTGCAGCGACGTTGGGACGGCAAATCCCGACGTCGCGCGACCAAGGTAACTGGAAGGCAGAGACCAAATATAGTTTCTCACGGCCGTTGCTTTCAGAAGTGAGTGCTTTAGCTCACGAAGAAACTCTCGCCGCGCAAAAACGTGGTTTCGTTTCACAGCATGACCGCATGGCTGGTACCCGGCACGTTAGCCTCGAAGCGTCGGCACACACCCGCGTCTATCGTTGAAAATATTTAAAAAAAGATGCGAGACGAGACCCGCAAGACGACGAGAGCGCGAAACGTGAAACGGCAAAAAAACCATGCACGAACATAATACACACATGCTCAATTACAGTACTCAGTTTAGTTTCGGTTTTGAAAGGCAATTGAAATTGGTGTTTTGGCGCAGGCTTGGTGCAGATTACCTATATTGTGGCAAAATGTAGCAGGATGTAGCAGGGTTAGCCACTTGGCGCAGTTCGGCGCATTTCGTGCAAGCAATCACATCACTGTGTGTGGCATACCTGCTTATGATTAATAGGCCTGCGTAGAGAAAATCATCAAATATCTGCTTTGTATGTTCAGTCATCCATATAACAAATCACAACTTTATCTCGCATCATGTTACCAAGAATTTCTGATAATTCAAACAGAGTTTGTGGCTTCCTGGAGTTCGAAATAATGATAGCCTACTGTATCTTTCATTGTTTTCATTATTATTTACAAGGTCTCCCACTTTCAGACCAGTTTTGATGCATGGATGGTAATCATTTTTTCATTAATAATTAATATTTACAATACAGAAAAAAAGTCATACTAATGCTCTTTTTTTTTGCTAATTAAAGAAAAAAGGAAAAAAAAAACAGAGAATCAATTTTTGGCATCATCTTTTAGATGTTTTTGCATCTCACATATTGATGTTAGAAGTTTTTAGTATGCATCACTTATTTCGCATAATTTACATCTCGTGTTTATATAGTTGTAGTCTTTTTACTTTGACACTAATATGATTTTCTTATATGGCCATCAGAAGTTGTGTACACAATTTTTGTTTCACATGATCTTCTCTTCGTACATAGGTGCTTATTTTGTCTTTGAACAGCTTATAGAGTCGAACCCAGAAATATCGAATTCAAAGGGGATCGTAAAATAGTTTGATATATCAATAATTTGATATACAAAAACATGTTAACTTAAGCTCGAGTTGAAGTTTCCTGGCGTCTCTCCTAATACTGAAGGTAGCGACAAACAGGAGCTTACCAATTAGAGCGTTCAAGAGTCGCCAAATACAGTAGAGCGTAGTTGGCAGAGACCGCAAACATCGCCGCGCTTACACGCGCACCTGGCCTGGACCTCCACACAGCATAAGTGACAAGCAGTTTTAAATATCTCTGTCAAATTATTTTTGTTATTATGTGATTATTCGGTGCTACTTTCATTTATCAATGGTTTTCTTTCAAATCCTCAAACGGCCCTCCTGCTGACAAACTCGAGACGGGCCCCGGAATGCATCAGGCTGCCTCCGTCAGCTTTCCGTCCAGTGTTCCGTCGGCTTCCGAGGCCACAAAATAAAAAAACGACCGGTCGATCGTGTCGGACACCAAACATCAAAGCAACGCCGGTAGACGCAAGCCAAATGGACCTCGCCCGATTTGACCGCATCCGACCGAACCGGACGTGAACGTCGTGTAGCCGTATTTGGTAGAGCACTGCACGGGCCCGGGCCAGCCCGAAAGCCCGAGCCCGGCCCGGCCCGCGGGCCGGGCTCGGGCCGGGTAGCACATATTTTCTCGGGCCCGGGCCGGGCTCGGGCTTGAACAAAAAAGTTCTCGGGCCGCGCCGGCCCGGGCCGGCCCGGGCCGTGCCTGGGCAATCTTGTGCCGTAAATCATAAATTGTTGTTGATAGCAAAAAGTTTGCTCATTAATCTTTTAGGTTCATTAAATACAAAAAAAAGCGATGTGCAAATTCACTACAGCGTCGTTAAAAATAATAACTAAAAGACGTCTTGAAGCTAGAAAGCCTTCAAGCTTTTTCCGTGTGAGCGAGGGTTCAGTGTTATAAATTGTAAACAAAATAAAGTCCCAGTCATATGCTTGTCAACCTGTCTGATTCATCGCTCTCAAAAATATCTAGTTCACTATTAGGAAGGTTTAGAAGAACGTACGCAAGCGCTTTGGGTACCGTAAAAATAGCGTTGCGATGTAAAACCTATGGCGATGCTAATTTTAGCTTGCCCAAAGTGCTTGAGTACGTTATTCTAAGACTCCCTTATTGCACAGAGCGACACTATATTAGAGCGAAGAAGCGATCGTCGTGTTCTTATGTTTATCTCATAGAATCAAAACGCTGTTTTCAACACTATTAGTGTCTTTAGAAGTGCTCATCTGGGCCACAGACGTAAGCGGTATACTTTGGTGCTTACTAACACCATTTCGAAGTAAAATTAAAAAAAAAGAGCCAACGTCATGTTCGCGGTATCAGTGTCGCGCAGTGTACATAGTCCGTTCCGCGCTTGCACGTTTTGAAAACCATCCTGAAAAAAAAAAAAAAAAAAAAACGTTTTAAGGGGTTAAGTAGGAATATATTATACTTAAGCTTGCCTGAAAGGGTTGTATATTTTAAGAACGCGTTGACATGTAAAGCTACTTCAGAACATATTCTTAAACAGAAAAGGTGCGCAGACCAGGCTTAGAACGATGGAGACTCTTTGTGAAGAGGTTGCGATGTGCAGGGCCTTATAAAAGTAGGTTGAAACGGGACGCGTTGAAACGCAAAGGGTGTTTCGGAAACTGGTTCAAATAAGAAGGACGTTTAGGGAATGGGTCGAAACAGGACAAATTCAAACAAGAAGGGCGTTTAGGGAACTAGTCGAAACGGGACGGGTTCATATGGGAATGGGTTGTTTCGGGCTACAGCCATCGGGCCGGGTCGGGCGGGGCCTAGAAATTAAAAATTCTGTCGGGCTCGGGCCGGGCCCGGGCCGTGTCTCTTCCGGGCCGGGTCGGGCCGGGCCTAGAAATTAAAAATTCTGTCGGGCTCGGGCCGGGCCCGGGTCGTGTCACTACCGGGCCGGGTCGGGCCGGGCCTAGAAATCCCGGCCCGTGCAGTGCTCTAGTATCCGGCCCCCGGGCGTACGTACTGGAGTGCATGGGAGCCATGCCCCCGCTGGGATGCTGCTGCTGTCCGCCGAGCTCCTCCGAGGGATCGAGCGGGGTGGCCAGTGGCGGCGGAAAGTGGAGGCTGGTCAGGTCGGGAAGAGACCCCGTGTTCCCGTTGCCCATGTTGGGGCCCGCCGGCATGTGCAGGCTGCCGGGCAGGGGGGCGTTCGAACCGGGGCTCGGCATGGGGCCCCCGTCGCCGTCGTCTTGAGGCATGTAGATGCTGCGGAAGAGACGCCGCATCACTCCGCTTCTCCCGTCTCCGCCGTCAAGGGCGCGGCCGCCACGAGCAAGTCACTCTCCTTTTCCCCGCTTTCCGCACGTTGCGATGCCGAATGTGTAATAACTCTACCATTTCTAGAACTCGTCGCACTTCGCACGCTTTAAAAATTTTTCCGATGCATCCTCCTGGAAAAGCTGCTACCACCTAACCACCTAAAATATTTCACTTCTTTATCCACACAGGGATTTATTTGAAAAGTTTTTCCCCTTCGTACCACCGCGTGAATTTTGGTCATCGGCGATTATTGATCATGTTTCACATTCGTTACCGTTTTTATTTTTCCTTGCATATTGTTTCATTCAATTTCTTTTTTTGTTCCGTACAATTCTTTCCTTCACTCTCGCAATAGTCCCAGAGTGGCTAATAAACAAAAAAATAAATACGTACCGCCTAAAGAAAAGAGTGCTTCGCCGCAATAAGTCGCGAAGTGGCAAGACCAGCTACCGAAATCCACAGTTTCAAAGACGACCGTGATGAACCGCGAGACTCTCAACCCTCCGAAATTCTTCTCCCAACGTTACATCTGTCGACGGAGGGGAACTCCTGTGCCCCAGTGTGGCATGGCCTCCCCGGGCATTTATCATCCTCGGCCATGTTCCCCCGAGGCAGTGTGTCATTGTCTCGAGCAAATCGCCGCGCACGTACGCACATGTAAATCTTGGTGGTCGCTGATTTGCGTCATGATTGCTTACGATTAGTAGACATAAATGCTTCAGCATATCTCGAGTGTGCACGAGTGCTGTGCGTACATGCACAGCCAAAACACGGCCAAAAGCGACGAGTGCCTGCTGTGTGCACCGTGCCACTTTCATTTTGTCAGTGACTATACTAACCCAAATAATGGGTCAAAATAATAGTTTTTTTTTCACAAAGTTACTGAATTTTTTATTTGGTCCTAACCAGTCTTTTCTCCATATTGGAAGGTTCTATTGGCAACACTAAAAATGTGACAACGAATGTTGCACTTTGTGCGGCATAACTTGTTCTCGACGGGTTACAATGGGTTCGGCAGCGAGAAACGAATGCCGGCAAAGCGCACACCAGCGAAAAGAAAAAAAAGTAGTTGTGTCAGACATCCGCGTCTTCCAGACTGCCTGCTTGACCATCAACTTTTACGACGTGCTACGTCGCCCTGCTGGAAGGCGCGGGGAAATTTTAATGTTAATTCCTGGCATTGCCTTTGCCGCCATTTTCTCGGTAGCTATACCGAATATGTAAATAACAAATAGCATAACAAAAAGGATGAATTCAGGGTGTTCCAAAAATCCAGTTAGTTCGAGTAGCACGAAAAAATTTACCGGTTCCTCGTCGTGTTCAGCAAAAAAAGAACTGCAGCGATAGCCTGGACGCCAAATCCCGTTGCATTCGGTCACATGGAAGCATTAAAATTCACCAGACTTACATCTGCTAAATTTAGTGGACGGTGTTTGTGCAACACCGAAAAGACGAAAAGATAAAACTCAAACGTGGCAAAAAATTTTCTACTCACTTAATTCCAGGTACCTCGCAGGACTTTGGTCGATGCTGCTGTGAAATGTCCTGCACAAAAACAAAAAACGAGGAATGCACAACCGGAAGGGTTGACCACAAAAAAAGAAAAAGCAGAAATGAGGTCGGGCTACACCAAAAACATCTTTACAGTACGTCTACCAGAGACGTCTACCAGAGACGTAATCACAGCACGGTGGCGATTATGTCACTGTACGCCGGTACCACGGTAATCCACATCAAAACGCGCAGGAGTGGTGATCGAGTACGGTGGCGACCTTTAGATTCTGTGGTGCACGCTTTTGTTCCGTCTTCTTTGAGCTTTGGTCACCAATCTTTCCTCGTTTTTCTTCCATTTTTAAGCTACGGAAGAGCAGGATGCAGTGGTAACGCAGTGGCGAGGCTTCACCAATGAACCTGGTACGCATCTTGCACTTCTGCGATGGAAACGTCGACATCACAACATCTCCGAAAGAAAGCTTTCGCAAAGCTAGTGCTCAATGGGAGTAGAGGGCGAAGTTTGTGTCTTTTCCGATCGTACGGGCTGACTTTGAACCTGCCGTTCCATGTCCCCCGTTTCTTCCGAAGCCCGTGCTTGTTCTTTTCCCCTTTGGCTCCAGTGCACTTTCCCACCATACAAGTGAATGCACTCGCTGCCTTGCGACGACGTTTCGAACTCGCTTTTTTGGCATGGGCTGTTCGTCCGGCGTCGGTTTTAAAAGCGGAGGGACCCAATCGAAACAGAGTGGTTCCACACTTTCTCTGGTGCCTTTCTCTTAATATTATGTCGGTGAATCCTTGTGCGACGCCCCTGTGATACGGGAATGTGCGTTACAAGAATATGCATTAAAGAGATGTGCTACGGGGATCTGAGTTGCGGGGATCTACGTTGCAGGAATCTGCGTCAAAGAAATTTACTAGGGGCCAGTCATGTAACACACTCTGCATTAAAAAATCAAACCCGAGATAAACAAAGAATCCCAGCAGTTACACAAAAAAAATGTGGCCCCCTGATTTCGTTTTTTTATTTATTTATTTGATTTGTGGATGTCATCTGCAGAAAGGGCAGAAAAAAAAGGCCTGGTGCCCGACGGAGGCTTGCCACCCTTCAGTATAGTTGTGAAAAAACTAAAATGTCGCTAAGATGATCAAAACCAAAATAAAACAACTGAAAAAAAAAAAGTTGCCAGCGAGAACATTGGATGCACAAATGTCATTCAACAGTGACGCATCAAAATAAGTACTATATAATCTACATAAATTTGTACGTGCCAAGTGGACCAGATAATCAAAATACAAAGTACTCACATAGAGTATACTAGCTCCGTATGATTCACCTTCACATCCTGCACCGGTGCAGAAAAGTGTGGGGCAGAGTACTTCTGGTATGTGTTTTCAGACACAGCCGGAAGTACACAGCCCTAAACTTTTCTGCACCGGTGCAGGAGGTGCAGGTAAACTGAACGAAGCTCAAACACCATTTCATATTTTTAGGACACACAAACATAGAGGCAAACCAAAGCACTCACACAGCCCATGTCCTGCATGCTGTTGCCAAAGCAGTCGCCCCCGCCTCCTCCCTTGGGGTCCCAGTACCCCTTGAGGTGCATGATGTCCATTGCAAAGCTATTCACATCCTGCAGCGCTGTAAACGTTCGCAGGACAGGAATAAAAATATTAACGGGGACTGCGAAAGAATTTTTCCACTCTGCCCAAATAGTATTTCGACAAAAAACACCTTGGCTCACACATACACAGCGGCGCTAAACCAACGCTAGAAACAGCACCAACTTGAACGTAACCTAGCAGCGCTCCCAATATAGCACGAGGCCGTGCTGCATCAGCAAGGTCAGAGCTATATCCAGTGTTGACTAATAGCACTGAGGTAAGGCTGCGGCACATGCGTGAATGGGCCTTTACATTCATAAAGCATGAAGAAGAAATCAGCTTTTCCATACCTGGGAGTGGAGTGAAAGGAAAACAAAAAATTGAAAGGTAGAAGGGACAAAAATAAAGAGGACAGACAACAACTCAATTGATATATATTCCCAGACCCCTAGTCAAGGCACCATCTCAATGTGGGATTGGTTCAGGAAACATCAGTGGAGACAAGAATACGGTGTAGGGAGCGTTAATGTGAGAAATGCCTTCACCTGCAATGCCAGTACAGGACGTACCTGTAATGGGATCGCCAGTATGGTAATTCATGAATGGGAATGTCAGCACGAGTAAGGCCAGTACGGGGACTAGTAGTATGAAAAACGTCAGTACGATGATACCAGTATTAGCATGGGGGATGGCAGTACACAAGCACCAGCATGGGCTCTACACAAAAACCAGCAATGCTAGTACATGCAATACTAGTGGAGTAATGGAATCGCCTGTATCGCAACACAAATACTTTAGTCAGTATGATGAAGGCCAGTACTGAAACTGCAACTATGGGTGACTAAATTAGATAATACCAGCATGAGAAATGCCAGTACATGAATACCAGTAAAAGACAATCACTATGAGGAATGCTAATAAATGATGTGCCAGTACAGGGCATGCTAGTGGAATTACTTGTGTTGTACCACGAGTCTTGAATGTCATTACGAGAGAGGTCAATATGGAAATCACCGGTACTGAAGGCACAAGTTTGATAATGCCACTATGAGGGTTGCAAGTACCAGGAATACCAGTATACAGGAAGTGCCAATACATGAACACCAGTACAGTGCACCAGTATTGTACATGTCACTATAGGCAATGCTAGTACAGGGCACAACAGTAGTAGAATCGCCTGTATGATAACTCGAGTGTTTAAATGCCAGTACAAGGAATGCCAGTATGAGAACTGGCCAGTATGCAAACACAAGTCCGATAATACCAGTACCAGGAACGCCAGTACCGGTAATATCAGAATGGCGAACGCCAGTACAAAAAGCACCACCGTACGAGGATCACCAGCACGCTAAACACCGAGAGAAGGTGGCGGTACGAGGGGCAACGAAGAGCCAAGGGAAGTCCTACTCAGTGTGTCCTGTCCGAAACCGTCGAGCCGCGCAGGACAGTCTCGGTAGATCTGGTCTAGATCCCGGGCAGTCACGGGATCTGGAGAGGAGGAAAGAGGGGGCAGGAGGGAGAGGGCCAAGACCGGCGTTACACGCCTGTCCATCCCATTACCACCAACGCCGAACGCTCCGGGGACGCTTAAAATGGAGCGAAAATAGTATGCACATGAAGGAAAGTCAAGAAGCAGACACAAGCAGACGTAAAGCTAGCGAGGGATCATAGAGCCGAGATAGTCAATGGAAGGGTGCAAGAACTGGACTGCGTGGGACAAGAGACGTTATCTCGTGTTGCCATCCTGAGAACGGCGTCCAGCCATCAGATTCGAGCAGTCAAGCAGGCTCCTCGAAAAGCAGGCAAGCAGGCTTATCGATAACGAGAATGCCAGAATGGGGGTAAAAAGCATTCAGGGTTGCTCCCAGGATGGGTAAATTGAATTGAATAGAGATAAAATGTCAGAAAAGTATTGCTGATGCACCCAGTATCTACCGTATTTACTCGCATAATAAACGCACCGCCTACAACAGGCATCAATATTTTGACTTTTTTTTTTCCCTCCCGTAATCAACGCACCTCCAATTTTCGGATCCGCGAGTCTCGAATTGCATCCAATTTAGCAAGCCACCAAGCCAGTTTTCTTTTGCCAGTAAGCGGTCAGGCCAAGTCAAGTCAAGTCAAGTCAAGTCAAGTCAAGTCAAGTCAAGTCAAGTCAAGTCAAGCCACGCTGCTCTTGTAATGGCCGCAAGTGTGTAGTTGCGGAAGTGATCAACCGTGAAACCGAGTGTTGCGCACACTTGACGAAGCTTGGGTCGAGGAATCGCCAAGCCCCGGACATTCTTCACCTATCGGATGCATTGATGTCAACAAACAAGCTGTCGTCTATGGTCCGATTTTGGACAGTGAAATTGTGAAAGTGGTTAGGCCTAATTTCACATACTCCGGGTGCACGCTGCGCTGTAGGCTGAGAGTGTCTGGTAGCCTCTCCGTGAATGAAACTTGACTCGTGCGAACCGGCTTGGGCTTCGGGGGTCGGCAGTTGGACTTCATAGGAGTTCTTGTCTCCGTGAAAGAAACATGGTCAATGCGAGCGGGCTTCTGAAATCGGCGGTCGGACTTCGTAGAAGTTCTTATACGCGTAGTCGCGGATTATACCCGAGCGTGCCCGCCGGATACTAGCAATATTTATCGCCTAAGAACGGTCCTGCTGCTTTTCGTGCTGAGTGAGCTAAGACGGTCGTGTTGCTTTTCGTGCTGAGTGAGCTTCGTAGGGCGTTTTTCCTTTGACAAAAGGCAGCCCAAAAGCACCCTAAAAAGGTTTGCAATTTATAAAGCATGGTTATTGCGGCGCGCCCCCGACCAGCCGCGAGTGCACCTCCATCACTGGAGACGTGCCACAGTACCTTGCCGTGTCATATTGGCACCTAATATAACATCTGCACAAAGTGTGTAAATGCAAAACTTTTACCCCGTGTAATGAACACCCCCCCAAATATGTGTCAATTTTTCGGGAAAAAAAGTGTGTTCATTGTTCGAGTAAATACGGTAGGTATTTTCGGACCACATCTTGCAATCAGACGGGGTGAAGGCCTTTAAAGGGACACTCAAGTCAACTGCTGCTAGCACCGACAGCAGCAAATAAGTAGCATCTTCTCACCGTCCTACGCTCAGTGAAAGTTTGAGGCTTCGGTGCTTTTCCACAACAAAAATCTTAACCCAAAACTTCTTGCAAGAATGAGGCAGCGAAAGGACTGGGCAACCGGGAAAGCGAGAAGTACCAGGTTTAGACAAAGAAGGAAGAGTCGCCTTCAGTGTCCCTTTGTTGGCGCTCCGCAGCATAAAGGTAGAGGGGTCGAAAGTGAGGAAAAGTCATGCGACGCCACAAGCATGACTGCTTCTCTGCGTCGCCTGCTTAGTCGTCGCCATGCTGCGTTCCGGAGTCGCCCGGGGAGGGCGCGTGTAGACATGGAGGAGAGAGAGAGAGAAAGGGGGAGAGAACGAGTGCCAGAGAGAGAAAGAGGCAGAGCGAGAGAGGAGGTGCCTACCGGTACCTCTGCGTTGTCCCGACGAGCTGCCAACCCCCGCAAAGGCGTCCTGCTGCCCTCCCGACGACTGCGCGCTCTGATGCAGCGCGGAGTCCGAATTGGTCCTGCGAGGAAGTACCACCCCATTGCAACACAATGCCCATTCACTAAGCCCATTGGGTACTAATCACGAGTGTCACTCATGCCATCCATTATGAACCAATAAGCCCAGCCAAGAGCCTGGCTCATGTTTGAGTTTCGAAGCCTGTTCTGTATGCTCTCTGGCAGATGGAAGCGCTACCACTGTTGCCCCACCCCCTTTAGGTTAAATTGTTGTTTGTTTAAAATTTTCACAGAGAGGGTTCTATTATCCCAGGAAAAAATAAAAACATTTGACGTCTGGAAGCATAGCGAAAGGCGACATGGCCTCAAGCCTAAATGCGGAGGTCCGCTTTAGCTGAAGAAGAAATACAGAAAATTTTATGTGAAAGTGATGAGTGCGCAAACGCTTCCGATGACAAGTTTACCACCTTTCCGACGACCCGGAAATTTTATTTAAAATTGGCAATTTGCTCGAAAATTAAACAAAAACATTCACTTGGTCTCCAGCTGTTGTTTTCTCCTCTCCATCTTCCTGAACGTTTTTAACAATAGGATACAGTGAAGAACTAGTGAATGGACACATCGGATGGCCAAGAATACTTAATGAGGGCAACAAACAACATCTCGTAACCTCACGGGGGTCACGTGACGTCACCGGGGTCATGTGACCTCACGGGGGTCACGTGACGTCACTGGGGTCATGTGACCTCACTGGGGTCACGTGACATCACCGGGGCCACGCGACGTCATTGGGGCCACGTGACCTCACGGCGGTCACATGACCTCACCGGGGTCATGTGACCTCACCAGCGTCACGTGACTTCACCGGGGTCACGTGACCTCCCGGTTACGCCGACAGCAATGCCACTGAAGTCTGAAACAGGTGCCTCGGAATATAAAAAATGTGACCCACACCCGCGGCTATCACTTCTGAAAGTTAGTGCACTCTAACGGATGTCTATTTTCGGTTCGTCAGAGAGTTGGCCTGTGTAACCGTGTGATTTTCAACGAAGGAATGCTTATATTGGTGAAACACAGATAGTACACCTCACATCCCCAGCAGAATGCTTTGTGTTCCACCTTGGTTTTGTCATAGCCTTGATTGCAGTTCCGTCATATTTAGCATTTCTGTCCACCTTGTTGGGAACATAAAACGTGCCTACCTGCTCAAGGCAGCATTAAAAGTTATAATGATGCTTACCAACAACCATCTGTTAAAGAGATACAACGAAATTTCGGCGCTTGTTTTTTGGTCTATATGTGTTCAAAGGAGCAGTATCACATCGGACACACCAATATCCTGTTAACAAAGAAACGAAAAGGAATTTTAAAACAAACTAAACAATTAGCAAAGAGCACCTGGTGAATGTTGCTAACGTCCCGTTCGTAATGACCGTCGAGGCACCTTGGCAGATAGTGAGGACATTTGTCTCACCTCCGGCCACCACTAGGGAAGAGGTGGAAGGAGGAACTCCCCTTTTCCTGAGAATATTTTTTGTGTGCCCCAGAAGTTGCTATTGTCCCTTTACAAGATTATAGAAGATTAACCTGTCTCTCGAAATTCGTTCAAAAGCAGCCGCTTCGGTGGCTGGAACGACTAGGCTATCCTCTCGACGTGAGCCTCGCCCGTGGCCTCGCTGCAGCTCTGCTCATTCCTAGACGAACTAAGTCACGATTCCGTTGGATGTCACATGCTCTTCGCAGGCTGCTCTCCGAGCGCTTGCCAGAGTGGGCCGTTTAAACGAAAAATACAGCCACCAGGCTCAAAATACAAACGTGCGATTGTCATTTATGGATATTGTGGATCATATTCAACCTATTTTTGAGCCCGACGGGTATATTTCAAATTTCGTTAAAGTATTCCTTTAAGCGACGCCTTTAACATGATTTAAAGCAAGGGTGCACGACTCAAAAATGATGCGAACCAAAAAAATGTTTATTGGAAAATGCGCGGGTTTTCAATCTCTTGCAGACAGGTTTTCCACATCTGGCATGATCGCACTGGTTGTCGTCTTGAGCACATATCGCAGTGTCGCGTCCGCAGGCCGCATGTTGTGCACCTCAGATTTAAAGTGTTTCCAGAGCTGTTGAGGTCTAAAAAATGTGCCACAATACAGTTGAATTATGTAAATAATGCCATCTTTGTTACGAAGACTGATGCAAGCAGTCAGCCATAGTAGGCAAGCGAAACCACAATTTCCAGGTCTATTTTTGACAGCCCACAAACTTGCGATGAAGGTCAAACCTACGTTTGAAAGCGAAACTATAGTTCTTTGGCTATCCACGGGATTGTGGAACATAATTGTCCACACTAAATTTAATTTTTTGATGGCGCTTGGCAACCATCGATCATTGGTGATCGATGGCCTATAGACATGGTCAGGAAGGAGTTAACTTTCTGCTTTTTCTTTCAGTTGCGTCTTCTGTTGACATGGGACGTTTTTGGTCTCTGGTCCCGTGGAAGTTGTGTGCGCTTGCTGTATAGCAACAGGCTGGCTACTTGTTAGAAGAAAAAAAAAGCATGCGAATATCGTTAAGGTTTCCAATTTTGTTCCTGAGCAGCAAGAGACGCATATCACCGGCAATAACGAACTCTCAAAAGTAAGTGCAGGCTCCCCCTTTAAAAAAGCAAAATAGTTAAATAGTTTTGAAAAAATTAACACGAGATGACGAGAAACACATGTATACCTAGAGTCTTATTTCCTGCCCATGCCTATTTCCCACCGATAACAGGAAAAGAAAGAATGCTATGCAGCAGTTTGACGGTCCCAACTTTTTGGTAAGGTCTAGAAAGCATCGCAGGCATCGTCTCCGACCGTTTTTAGATTGATTAGCATATTTTCAAATGTCAGGCAGTGTTAAATGCTATCAAATTTAACTGTGGCGGGTTTCCAACTTTCTGAGAAAAACCTCCTTAACACAGTAAAAAGAAAAATCTTTGGTGCTACTAGCAGGCCTGCCAGGCGTTCGATAACAGGAGTCTTTCCCTGTGCTCAAATCCAGGCCACTTTTGAACTCCAAAGAAAACCAAAAGTAGCTGTCAAATCTAGAGGCATTGGTTGCAATCGAAGCGATTAAAACGGCAGATACGACAGATTCACGAGAAAAGGTTTCTGTCGCACGCAATGTGACACGACAAAGTAGCTTTATGAAAGAAATGCGAGTCCCGGTTACCAGCCTCTTCTGGCGTTTGTTAGATTCTAATGCAAACTAACCACCGCCACCAAACAACAACCCGCTTGCCGCAGAAGCTGTGAAGCGTAAATTAGGCGACAACGGGCAAAAAGCAAAACTCTCACCGTCTCCAGCTGGAATCGGGCGGGGGGGAGAGGTAGAGAGAGGAGCTGTAGGGCGACACGTCAACCTGATCACGTGGGCCGTCAGGGAAAAACAGGATTGGCCGTGACACGCAGGCAAGCACGAACACTACCGATCGACTCGTCGCAAAATACCCCGATATCCCATGACGTGGCACATACTACGAAAAAAACACGTCAATGCTCCCAACTCACCCCAATCTTTTTTTTTTTTTGGGGGGGGGGGGGGGGGGAGCGAGGCGTTAGAATGGGGCTTTGGGACACGATTTAGTTACATAATTTTGGGTTACGGAGTTGCGCAGCATTTGCCGAGGAACAGACCGAGTCGAACTGACGGCGAGAGACCGCCACGAAGAAATGTGACGGAGACAAGAACGAAGGGCCGTCTTTCACGGATGCCCCGCCTCCGGTATGTGCTAGCTGCCTTCAGCCATTCTTTCGGTGCACGTGCACGCTCAAGCACCGTGAAACAACGAAGCCTCGTCGAAGGCAGCAGGCTGGCACTGGAGGCGGCGCAACTGAAGTTCCTCCCTGCTGTTCCCATCCTGTCACTCACCAGACAGTGGCTGCAGGAAGCGCCTTTTTTACTTTCGGCGAGCTGCGTTCCACCACGTCCAGGAACAGCATCCGCCACTTTACCCGTAAGTATGCATAAACGATTGGTTACTGCCGTCATTTTCGACGTTGGTGAGACGCAGAAGCATGCAAGTGGCTCCATCGACGACAGCACTCTATGAGGAGCTCAAGTTCGTCTGCTTTTTGATGTGATAACATTGAGCTCTTATCAGTTGATTGAAAGAAATAGTGGGTAGACCTCAAGGCACCTAGCACCGAGGTCCACCCACTATCCTTTGAATCAAAGCCAATCGGAGCTCAGCGTCGTTCTGATGTCATCGCAACTCCTACGCAAGAAGCAGACGACTTGCTCTCGAAATGAGTTCGAGGGACACCTTTGAGCCGCAAAAACCCACGCTTACTCTGCATTTGTTTTTTTGTTTTATTAAAGGACACATGCAAAGGAAAAAAACATTTTTTTTCGACAGCTTAGATGGAAAAAGGATGTCATAAAACGATTTTACAACGAAGAAAAAAATTTTTTAGAGCTATATTTACGGCGCTATACGAATTTGTAGTTGGCGCTCGCGGGAGCCGCCGCTGGTCACGTGGTAGGCCCGCGCGCCGCCGCGCTGCGTCGCCACCGCACGCTGAGCGTTGTGCGAACGCCGCTTCAATGCGTTTCTCCACGCCGCCGTCGCCGCACAAGTTCGTCTGCTTCGGGGCGCCGCCGCCGTCGTCTGACCGGCGCGCAGGTCTATCACATCTGCTTGCGCTTTTTCAGGAGTTCCGTTTGGGCTCTAAAAGTTACTTATTCATCTTAGTTTTTTGTTATACTACAAACAAAGATGAATAAGTTACTTTTAGAGGCCATAGGAAGCTTCCGAAAGAACGCAAGCACCACGTGATAAATAAGGACCAGTCACGTGATAAATACGGACCACTTTTCCGCGGTGCCTGCGGGCGCCAACTACAAATTCGTTTTGCGCCGTAAATATAGCTCTAAAAAATTTTTTCCTTCGTTGTAAAATTGTTTTATGGCATCCTTTTTCCATCTAAGCCGTTTAAAAAAAATGTTTTTTTCCTTTGCATGTGTCCTTTAAGTCGCCCAGGAGGCATTTATTGGGGTCATTTTGGTCACCGATGGATCGACCTCTTTATGCCGGTTTGCCTGCACTCCGAATAAAGACGAGCGAGTCTAAAAATTGGATATCGGACGACGCTCTTTTGTGTTTCCGGACTACACAGGCAGACACAGTCGATTGTGACGCGAAAGAAGTGGAGTGATCTGGAAAAACACTGCCTCCGCGCACAGAAGGACGTACGGTGAAAGTTCGCCGACGTGGTGCCGAACGAGATTAAACCAAAAGTACTGAGTGTTAAACAAAAATAACTGTGTTTTTTCTATATTGCGAAAATGAACTACGCATTAGAGGACACTCGTGCTCTGCCCAAATATACAGTGCAATCCACTTTTGACGATAACACATATCACAATATACCGCTTATAACAATCAGTTCACAGAGTTTCCAGACTAGAAACGACCGGTTTCTAGTCCAGATACAACGATAATGGTTATAGCAATTGCATTTTCGAGTTTTCTCATTCTCGTTATAAGTGGATTGCACTGTAGTGCTACCCATCCAAACCAGATGCCAAAGTTTCAGAACTAACCGTCATCTCAATAAAAAATTACAAATGGTTTTCTGAAATTTTCAACGGGAGAATGGCGGCCAACGGAGGGCTCGGACACACGGAGATGAACGGCATCAGTTACCGAGGGCGGGCACCGTTTCCCCATTGAGCATTTCGGAAGCATTTGAATGTGACGACGGTTAGTCCCTAAACTTTGGCTTTTAGTTTAGGCCGCTATCGCCACGTTTGGGTGGAGAACAAACGTTTCGCAACGCATAATTTACTTTTAAGATTAAAAAAAAAAAAAAAAATTGTTTGGGGGGACACTTTAAGTCACGCGAAACCGCCCTCCAGGCACACGCAGCAACCCCAGCCAAGGATACCCGCTTGTCGAAGGCCGCCTGGCGGCTCTTGTGGGGCGCCGTAGCATGGCGGCCCCTCTCCCGGGTGCCGTGGGGGCGGTCGGGCCCTGCGGGGGGCAGCGCCATCTCCCGGCCGTGGCGCATGTCTTCCAGGTGGTGCAGGGCCCCCTGCAGGTCGATGCTGTGTCCCTGGCCGCCGCTCATCTGGTTCACGTTGGGCAGCGAGCCGCCCCGGTACGAGCCTAGGGACGGCATACTCAGCTGGTGCTTCGGGTAGGCGCCCTGCAAGCGGACACACGAGACACCGTTGCACCGCCGTCCGCACAACAAGGGTCATACTGCCGGATTTTCTATGAGCCGCGATCAAGTAAAGCCTGTTTGTTCCGTGGCACGTATGAGGAGCCCAACGACGTTGCCACTATCCTAACGAGCGCAGACCAAAGTACGAGCGAGCTAGCATTCGTTCCTCTCGCACGTCTGGTTTAAGGCAAACGCCATTTACAACGTGACCGGTGTCACTGGGAATCTGACCAAGGTGGGGGTAGGGGATTGGCAAACGGCGAGTTGGGTCCTGAAGGCAGAAGGGTGTCGACCAGTCGACGTTCGTGGCAGAATGCATGCGGCTTATGGTGGCAAAAATGGGGCGAAGAACTGGCTGCAAACAGTTTTGGGAAGGACCAGAGGAAACGAAGCCCTGCGCAGTGGCTGAGGTGAGGTCGAGAAGCCTCCGTGCTGTCAGTACTATGGTGCAGCATACAGTAGGACGAGTACAGTGTCTTTTTAATTTAATGCACCCAACCGTACGCCTCTCCACTTCCCTCCACGCCATTTTTACCCCTCCAGAACTCCGTTGAACCAGTCATATGTCCCTATACCCGACACATATTAGGAATGTACATAAAGCACGAGTCATTCCAAAAAAGAACCAAAAATTGTGTTTGCACTGAGAAACCACAAAATGACAATTTTGAATGCGCTTAAAACAGCATCAACGAAGAGCTCTCTGGGAAATGCTGCTAAAATCTAGAAAAACCTGTGGGAGTTCTACTACGTACAGGGGGTAAACAAGAGTACAGAAGTCGAATTGTTTTTTCGATAAGCTAAAGCTTCTAACATTCCATATGACTGGAACAAAGTGGCCAATGAAAGGTACAAGTCTAGAGCCTTTTCAGGAGTCACGTTCAGTGGCTAAAATGCAACAAGCATGCACAAAATGCGAAAGCACAAACATGGGAGCACGAACTTGATGTTAGTGTAATTACAAACATGGCTACATAAAGATCTACGGGTGATTCATCTCAAATCGGGCAAACCAAAAATGCCTAAATTTTATTTTCTGCAAAAAAAACAAAAACGGTATGGGGCATTTACAAACAACAAGTTTCCCGTATTTTTGGTTCACAAGATTTGGAGTGTAGAAGACGCTGCCGCAGAAATTAGCATTTCCCTTTGCCGTCGCAGGTTGCATGTTTGAAACCCAGTTGTAAAACAATAATGTAAAGTAGATTAACTTTTCATATTAATTAGAATTTAGACTTCGGTATACACACTAGAAAACAGGGAGTAACAAGTCTATAAAATTCGGAAGTCCAAGCAACATGTCAATATTGTTTCTATATATCAAGGTTCATAATAAACAAGGCTGGATACTGATTGTCCAGAATATTACGAAGAAACTAAAATTGCCATGCTATTCAAATCTCATACTTAAAACTTCGTGGAGATCACCGAAGGTTGATTGCACAGTTCTCGCAGCTAAGAGATAGTATATGAAAGTTTGCACAAAGAACCAGTTTGAAAGAAAAAAGTCAATGGCACATCCTCTGAAGGCAGTACATTATTTGACTAGTTAAATGTAGTTGTGAATTAGTTTTTGCACTGTCCATACTCTGTTCACCCTTATGCTGAGACTACGGTGGAAGCTATGTGCTTGCCGGACCAATCAGCCGCCTCCCTCTTATCACCTGATCCGGCTCTGCTCAGAGGAGGGGTGGGGGGAGAGGCACATGACTAGACTAACAAGGGCGTAGCTTCCACTGCAGTCTCAACTTAGGGGTGAATGAAGTACAAAAACCAGGTCGCAGTTTTGAACATGCCAGCACACGCTCACTGATGATCTACTTTCAGGGAACAAAGTGATACGCGCATGCGTTGGCGCAAGTATGCCACTACTCTGGGTTTTCGCTGTAACAATACACTTAGTTTATAGAACCCCCCCCTCCCAAAAACTACACTTTTGAGAATATTTAAAATGTTGCATGTACCACTCATCAAATGCTATGGTTCATCAGAATAGTCTCAGCTATGTATCTGCACCCTGATCGACTGTTTTCGTCTACCTTTTCCTTCTTGACAATCTTTTTCACAGATGACCCACCATTTTTCTTTTCCTTAACAAGTACAGTGCTTCCCCTATTAGACACAGATAAGTTTCATGATTACGCTGCGTTAGTTCACGAAATGATGCAAGCGTTTCCTTTGCCTTAAACGACGGCCCCTTCGTATTTACCATTTTGTTTATGTCGGTAACTTGCATGTCTATGCTATCGTACTTTGTTTTCCACCCCCGTCAATAAATCAACAAAGAGAAAAAAAAGCCCTCAAAATATTTTGCCCACATCGAGAAACATTAGCTAGTCTGGCCTGATCGGATTGAACAGAAACAGTGAAGTACCGAAAATGTTATACAAAAAATGCAAAGGTCACATGTTTCCTTCACAATAAAGATTCTTTTTATGTTTGGCAGGGGGAGGCGATATAGCAGCTCTAGAAACAGAGTTTCCGCGCACAATCCAAGTGCCCACAAAAAAAGAAAAAAAAACTAAACAATGCAAGTTGCTGCTAGACACAACGGGAGCACACGTCGACAAAACACAAAGAAATGGAAGACACATCGCTAGACGCGAGACGTCGCGCCACGGGCTGAAGACATTGCAGGGCGGGCGGGAAAGCGGGAGCAATGTGCAGGGCGTGTCTGCTAGGACTGAAAACAATTCTTACAAAAGGGCACCGGAAAACTCCTGCCAACAACGCGGCCAACCGTGGCAGCAGGCGTCGGGGTGCCATAGTCACCGACGGAGTAGGAATGGCAGGGTGCGTCTTTCGAACAAAGCACCTACAACACTTGCCTTGGCTGCAAGCGCGTGCTCGAGGTGAATGAGACGAAGCATCGTCGGAGGTGGGGAGCTCGAGCTGGAGGCGGGACAGCCGTAACCCTTCCCTGCCATTCTTCAGCTCGTCGGCGACTATGGTGTGACATAATCGTTGGTGAGCTCATTACCTAAAATTCGCCAACTGACTTCTTTAATATGCGTTCGTCTTTTCTGGCCCCATTTCAACGTCGGGCAACAGATCTCTGATAAGAATGTGCCGACTGGGAAGATTAATTGAAAGGTTAATTAGAGAGCATAACGCAATTAGTTCCCTAATAATTGTTTCACTGCCCCCTCCCCCCCCCCCCCACACACACACACACGCACCGACACCTGCCATGATGTATAACGTTATCTTAAAGCAAAAACTTCTTCCCAACTTCAAGTTCTATTTTTTTTTTTATTAAGATCGATCTTAATAAGAACATTCGATATAAACATTGCAAGATAAAATATTGAATGCAAAACATTGTGTCCTAAGTGCTGGAAGTACTAGTGAAGGCTCCCTAGATGAGCAAAATTAAGAAAGGAAGAGTGTAAACTTTTCAGCTTCGACTTCCGAAGATATATACGAAACAGGGCACCAAAAATAGATGCTAGTAGAAACCTACTCTAAACCTACTGAAGAACTTTCACCTAATGCACTTTTCACTTTACTCAATTAAAGTACACTATAATAATAAACACCAAAGTTTACCACTTAAAGGGGCACTGACACCCCAAAGGTCCATTTTTTTTTTATTGTCTAAAACAATGCAAGTTGTAGTCATAGACACGCAAAAAGAAACGCATAGCAAAAAAAATTTCCCCGCGCACGCCTTTTTATTTTTGGCGTTTTTCTCCCCCGCTGCTTACCTCCTTGCTTCTTTTGATCGGTGGCGTCAAAAATCAGGAAATTTAGAAGCTTTGTAAGGGACATTTTTATAACATTTCATAACAGCAATCGTAAAACATGTTTTTTAACGCAATTGCGAACGCACTTTGGCCCCTCTTTTTGAAATACCAAAAATCAGAGTCCGGTGTGATGTCGCTTCCTCGATTTGTATCCTCCCCTAGAAAACTTGGCTGCGCTCGAGCAGAAAATGATCGGCAAGTCGGGGAAGAAACCGGTTTTTCCCCGCCGGCGCCCTTCTATCCCGCTTCCCTCACCTCCTCCTCGCTTCGGGTCGCGGTGGCAACGGCGCTTTGCTTCGTAGCGTGGAGCGGAGGTCCGAAAGAAAGTCAACTTGCAGGAGACCACGAAATTTGACTCACTGCACTGGCGCGGATCGCGCGGGAACTTCAAATTCGCCATTTGGAAATTGTTTTTATAATTCAGAAATACTAAATTGCCAAGTTTCTAATTTTTAGGGTAATGTACCGGCATCGTTTTCAATCGTTTCGGATAATAAAAAAAAAAAGATTTTGATGAGTCAGTGCTCCTTTAAAGGCAACTCCGCACAATTTTGAAGATTTTGGGATAATGAGTAATTTCGCATTAAAAAGCCCTAGCAAAACACAGTGCATTATTTGCTTCGCGAAAAATGGGATATATATTTTTAAATCTAATTTTAAACACGAGCAGAAATCAAAACCAAAACTTCGCCTCCGTTCGGCAACATTGGCTTCGGGCCGCCAAGAACATGGCTATTACGTGGTGCGAGATGTCACGTGATCCTCTACGCAACGACGGGCGGGATCGGGGCGGGCGTGTGTCAGGCCCAAGTGTCGTCTGCACCGCACCTTCACCACGTTTTGGTGTCTACGATATTCGATGACGTCTGCACAACTGCGGCATTAGTCTGCACACGTACTGTCCGTAGTGTGAACGAAACTCTTAGAGACAATAATCACAAATGGTGAGACGACGATGACGGGATCAACGCAGGGCGGCCGGACGGCTCCCAAGAAGCACACTGCCGCGCTGAGAGGAGACATTGCTGACATCATGCGTTACGCTTGCCCAGAGAAGTAAAAGGGGGCAATGGTGATGACGTTTAGCTTAGTGTTGGCTACGCCCACGCTGCAGCCTTGACTGTGCTGTTGGTTGCACCTCAATTCGCCCGCTTGAGTCAGCCGATTTCAACAACTTGCTGAGTTGCAAATTTGCTGGACCGTTTAAGAAACATTTACACAGAACTATGTCATAATATTTGACGTGTGGTCTTGCTAAGTGATACTGAAGAGGACTGCATTGTTTTTTCAAAAACAAAAATGAAGCGGAGTTGCCCTTTAAACTAGTGATGGGAATGAGCACATTCCATCACCATGCTAATAGTTTATGAGAGCCTTTAGATTTCACCTCATGTAATTTTCAATTTAATTGAAATTGATTTTATTCAGTACATTCCACTACTATGTTAGTGGTTTGACAACAGCCTTTCATGTAAGGGACAAACACCTGAAACAAACACGGGAAAACAAAGCAATTGCTCGTTTCTGCTAACCGCATAGTGGTTTGTTCACACAAGCTCCAAGTTACTCTGTGTCCCTTCAAGAACCTTTTGCATAAACATTAGCCATCATAGTCATCCTGTTCTCATCATCTCACAGCATATGCCACTGACACAAAAGTATGGATGGGTCGGCGCAAAGTTGCCGAGAAGAACATGGCAGGATGAGCGGGCGCAAGCGGGCTTACATTCGCCGCTTGTGAGATGTAGGCAGAGTCGTACTGGGCTCCGTATCCCTGTGCATTATCCAGACCATGGCTGCTCTGCAAGAACAAAACAGCAATGAGAGAGATAATAAAAAAACCAACAACACTACAGTCAAACAACAAGGAGTTCAAGTTCTCAGCCCTATTCGCAATTCCAGCAAAATGTATGGCACCTGGCGGAAAAAAACACCGAATTAGCCGGACCTTTCGCAATTTCTGCTCTTCTCCCATGGCTTCTGTGTTTGCATGCTGTCCTCAGTTGGCATGACGGCCACTGAATCAAAACGAGATCAGTTGCATTGCTTGTGTCCACAGCACAACGAAAATGGTGGCAAGGACCGGGCGGGAGCTAAAACCACGACTCCCAATGGACTACCGAATTAGGCATGTCTCGCGTTGCTTCTCGTGTAGCCCGAGGCAAACAGTCATCGCCGTCAATGTCGTATCGGCGTGTTGCCTAGGTCGCTTGTGAACCAGATGCTGCGCATTTATCAATGCTCGTCGGCGCCGTAGAAAGGCAGTAAATAGTCCTTCCATCGCTTCCCTGAAGAAGGCTAAAAGTTTGCTTACGCCAACACACCGCCACAGGTTCCGAACATAGTGGATAGAAATTGGGGCAAACCATTGTGAAGCCGATGTTTCCCGCTTAAACACAAGCATTGTGCGTTCAGCTATGTGGAGAGCAATCTTGTCTGCTTCTTGTACAAGGGTTGCAATCATGTCAGAATGCCGAGCTCTTATTGGTGGTTTTAAAAAATATTGGTAGGCCTCAAGGCATCTAGCATTAAGGTCTACCCACTATCTTTTTAATCAAAGCCAATAAGAGCTCAGCGTCGTTCTGACGTCACCGCAACTCTTACGCAAGATGCAGACGACTTGCCCTCCACATGCTAGGGGACATCTCTCTGTGGCAATGGAGCCAAAGCTACAGAGCCGAAGCACGGCTTTCCATCGTGCAGCTCAATATAGTTCAACCAGAATAATTTGCTGGGTATAACTTAACCAATTAAATATATTTAAAATTGTTCTTTTTAGCTTTGATTTCCCAATGTTCCTATAATATTAGCCAGGATGTGCCAAACTTGGCATTACTTTTTTTAGGTCTTTGGGGTTTTGTTGGCTTAAAGTTCGCCGCAGGTTTCCTGGTTTCCTGCAAAACAAACATGGCGCCTTTATCGCGTCCGTTGTTGGGTACCATCGGTGTGGTGCACCGTCTGTGAGCTCGCCCCTCTGTTTGCCTGTAGGATTTTCACGAAATTGGGCACCCACGAGTGGTTAAAACAAACGAAGAGGTGTACAACGTGTATGCACAGGTGAGACAGAGGGAACCGGGAATCTCTTGTTTCCTTATACCGGTGGGTTAGCAAGCTCACTGGCACAAGCGAGCAGGAATGGGGGTTGAGCCCAGGATCCCAAGGTTCTGCAGCGCAAGCTTTCGCTATACATGTTCTGAGCTGTGGTGCATCACCAAACCCTCCTTAGGGCCAGCAGTAATTGAACATGATCCAAATATAATTTGACACTGCGCCTTGGCGTGTGTGTGCTTCTATTTCGGCATGTCATGCTCGCACTATGATTTTTCAGCACCAGAAGAGTTTCCATGTCAATGACCTCGAAACACTGGAGCACTGACGAGATTCACAGCATTCCTTAAATCGCCGCCGCACATCTGTGTCAATTGCGAGACAAATACAATTCGAAGAGATCCAACGCGGTGTAATTCACCTCGTAGGTCGGACCGAACGCTTCAGTCGAGGCATTGACTCGTGTTCAAAAACGGGTGAAACGTTTGAGAAAGAGACGCGGATATGGGGCCTGCATTCTCGGCGATTGCGATTCAACACCTTCAACCACAATCCTCGTACGAAGAGCAGTCAAGCCAAAACCCAAACTGAAACGGAAACAAAAAGAAAAGTCCGGAACTACTTGGTGCGATAACACAGAGCCGCTAGCTCTGCCTGCATCCCCCCTTCCCTAGCTTTCCGTTCATTGCCACAGAAAGTTTTCCCTGAGTGCACATGTGGCATGACCTGTTTTCGGCCGCAATATTTGTCAGGAGTGGCAGCCTCTATAGGCTGCTGGAGTCGCAAACACTCGGTTTCGCCTTGCGATGTAACCAGTGGCATCACTAGAGTCAGCGGCACGTGAGGCAGTGCCCCGCGGCGGGCCACTGCCTCTGGTGCTAGCTAGCCACACACCAAACACTGAACTTCAGTCTGCTGTAAAATCACTTATAATGGTCCAATCTGAAAAGATTTTCTGAGATTGGATTCATTTTGCAATATTTAGTAACATGTTAATAGTAACATAGTATTTTTTTATTGAGATGCTTTCTCTCCTTTTTTTTTTTCTACAAATGATGAGACAATCTCTTTCTTAATTATATTGAGAATTAACATAATTAAAAATAACCAGATATTTAAAACCAGCTTAAAAAATGAGTAAGACTGATTAGCTTCATCAAGTTTGGTTAAAAAATTAAGATGTACAACCCTCAGTATTCTCTTTAAGACCAGAACAGTGATGAAATGGCTACATTTGTCATAAAAAAAAAGGAATGAATTGAAAACCGGAGAAGTATATGTTTTTTTTTGGTCAAACTGGCTACTGGTACCATGTTTTCCGGCCAAAGAAAGCCGCACCTTTGTGCAAGTCACACCCCCATAAAGGGCTGTTTTCCAAAAAAATGTTAGTTTATAAGTAGCACCTACATGTTTGTACGGTCGGCACGGCGAAACTGGACTGAAAAGCCCACATCTGTGCATTATGACCGCAATATATGCGCAATCGAGAGCGAGTCTCAATACTTTCATCAACGGATCGAACGGGAAATATAACCACTGTGGCGAATCTCCGCAGTTAAAGGGACACTGACACCCACCAAAATTTTTTTTATTTTTTGCCAGGCGACTTAATATGATGTCAGAAGGCTACCCTATCAATATTTTGCGACCGCGTCACATATATTCTTAATAAAGTCAAAAAATGCAACTGCTCGAAACCAAAACCGGACTGGGGAGAAAGAAGAAAAATAGAGGAGGAGTGTGTTGGTGAAAGTCACGTGGCTGCATAACTTTTTTTCCCTTCAATTAACATAATTGTGGCTTTTTAGAAGCCACAAAAAAATAGATATTGTATTTCTTTTCTATTTTCAATATTGAGTTTTTTTATATTTTTTGTATTTTTTATTTTAGGCACACAATATTTTAATATTGTGTGCCTTTGATGACCCACGACTTTGATTATATTTGATGGTTGTGTCTAAACCATAAAAAATGGCTTGTGACCACAGAGAAGAGATTGAGTGCAACTAAAACCAACCAGTTCTCGATCGGCAGTTTTTGGGCGGAAACAAAATGAATTTCGAGCCACTAATTGTGTTCTGGGAAGTTGGACTCTCATATGTCATATACAAATAAAAAAATGGCGAGCATAAATACCTGGTCAATATCCCTTTAAGGTCAACACTTAGAGGAGAAAGAATGCATATAAGTTGTATAAGAAGCATCAACGAAAAACTAATATGTCGGAAAATAGGGTGTAAATGAAACAAATAATAATATACACATCAAGCTACTGCCGTCCAATCTACCATATCCTATGGACTACAGTCCATGGACACCCATTTAGAAGTTTAAATTCACGCGGTGCAGACTATCTATAGGTGTGGACTAGACAAGGATTTGTTTTCCAAGAGCATCCATTACCACAAGATACGACAGGCTTTGTGAATGACACAGTATATTAACGATGCAACAAGGCATACATAGTGAGGTGGAAAAAAACAGTGCAAAATATGGAAGACAAGTGGATGCACAAGGCGTATGCGAGCACTTCTACTTGTCTTGTGTCTTTTGCGTCATTTCTTTCATTTCAATGTATTAATTATGATTTACGTATGGTGCAAGCTTCTTTGAGAGTTAATAAAGTGGGCGTTTGGCAAGGTGTCCTGTATATGAGAACTCATTACATGCAAACTAGGCACCAAGTACAGACTAGGCGCAAGGATTTTGTGTATCGCTGGTCATGCAGTGCGGCAGTTGATTTTTTCCATTCTATGACAAGTCCGTCGTGAAGCAAAGGGCTTTAGAATCGTGCAGTAATCGTTGCACCAAAAGGCTCAAGCACCAATTAGGCAGAGTGCAAGCACAGATGTTCCTGGTGGCTGACAGCTTCAGCTGGGATCCAGGAAACCAAATGTGGAACATTCCAAAACCCGAGCGATTGTCTGAGGTCAACGCACCGACAAGAACAAAAAAGAAAAAAAAAAAAAAAAAAAACAAGTATTATTAAATTATTTTGCTCCTTCGTAAAACTTTCCGTTTTGTCTTTTTTTTTCATGATGCATTCGCAATGTCAAACTTGCACAATTACGTCAGCCAAATTTGGCTTACGGATTGGATTTGGATGTGGGCACCACGTCATCGCTTGGACTGCGCTCGGTAACAGACAATCCGTCGGCCAACAGTGGGGTCACTCGCGTTTGTGGCCAATTAGTGAGGTGACGAATATCGGAGAGCTCGATCCATGTGTATGGTACCACTTGGGAGTAGTAATACCAACCAGGTAGTTTGTTTCCTGTTTTTTTTTTTCTTTCTCCCTGTGCATTGAAATAACATTTCTTTTTTCCCTCTCATTTTCCTTTCTTTTTTTTCTTTCTTTTTTTTCCCGCAAAGCTACATTGAATAAATTTGAGTATGATAAATCCCACAACCCAAACACACATTCGAAAAAATTTTTTCAACTTAGTTCATTGGCTTATACTTACACGGCTTTTTTTTTTACGACTGAGTAGCGAGAACACCTTGTATGTCACGACCGTCGGAGAAAGCATTCGGCCAAAACAAAGAGGTTTGTGGTAGCACTTCTGTCACGCCAGACAAGCTTGTTGTACGTAGAACATGTTTCTGGGACACCATATTTCGGTGCAATCGTATACCTACTGAGACTCGTACCGCGACTTCCAACAAGAACGCCACTGACTGTCGCTATGGTCACGTGATCACCTACAACAGCCAACCGGTTCGCAGCGGGGCTCACCCATGAGTGAGCCTTGC